CCATCACTATGGATAACCAAACGATGTCTTGCATTAGCAATGAATACGTCCAAATATTTTCGATGCATTAACCAAATATTACATATACATATGTTTTCCCTATTTATCCAGTTATACTAATTAAGGAAATTTGCTTCTTTTTTTTTTGAATTTTGTGTGTGTCGTATTTTGCAGTATGTACAAAAATGGTGGAGAGAGTCCTTTGTATTTTGTAAATTATGGCGACGGATATGGCCTCCGATACAGCCCTGGCCCAATATATTTAGGAGCTTTAGGGCAATTTTTTTTTTTGTCTATTATTATATATAAATTTTTTTAAAAATTTGCAGAATTTTATAGCGAAAATTGTTATTTTAAAAATTTTAGACCTTTTATACATTTTCTTATAATAGGCCTCTTAAAATATAATTCTCATATTAATAATATTTTTTAAAATATTTGGATCCTTTTTATATATAAATTTTTTTTTTAGAAAAAGACCACAAACTGTCGCACTTCCGCCCACCTCTCTAAGCCGGGGCTGCTCCGATATAGAAGTTTGAACCGAAAATATGGATTTAGCCATTTAGGTAGCAATAGCATTTTCATAATCTTACGTGGAAAAAGTGTGAGAACATAGGCTGCTCAATCTTTGGGTTCATTTAATTATCGTACAAGCCTAAATCATACTTTAGGCCCAATATAGACGGGCCTAATGCCCAAAGAGTGAAAAGGATTTTATTGTAAATCGAAACATGTACCGAATTACCACTGTCTAATCAATTATCAAAACACTAGTGTTGTGCACGGTCAAAACGTTTACATGAAAAAAATTAGTTTTTCATTTTTTATTTAATTTTGAGATAATTAGAAAATAATGTCGTTCCTTGTTAAGAAGAGAGGAGAAATGGAGGATATGAGATCGTGGGAGTTGATATAGTAGTTGATAAGTTTTAAGTGAGTTTTTTTTTTTCTTTTCTTTTTTTCTTTCTTTTATTTTATTTTTTCGTCATAAATTGGTTTAAAAATGTAAAGCGAGTGAATTTGAAACTTAAGACACGTGTCAGATGGAGAGAGATGTAGGTTTTAGAGAAGTGACTTGTGATTTATTATAATAAGATTTACACGGCTAATCAACCGTTGTTTTTTTTGGCTAAAGGATATCTATGGTTGTTATTTTTTTATTTTTTTATTTTTTTCAATTTTTTTTACAGCCTATGGTTGCTATTTAGAGGTTAAAATTCATTTGAAAGAAGATATTTAGTTCTTCAATTTCATTGGGTATTTTTGGTTCCTTGAACATGGCTGAATGATATCGAAATAATGTACTATGGAGATAATTAGGTAGAGTTGTTACTCTGAATTATTGATGTTAACAATTAATTTAAAAAAATATGTGATAGTACTAGTGTCAGTGTCTACAAGCTAAGCGAGTTTTAAATCAAATCTTTATGGAGATGAGTGTAAATGAATGTTTTCGAAAAACTAAAATCTTTGTGATTATTTCATCATCAATAGTAGTATAAGAAGTTACTATCTTAGATACTTTTAAATTTTAATATTTAAACAATAATTTTAAAAATTGAATTTTGATATTTTAAATTTGTAAATAATATATTATAAAATAATTATATATATAATATGGAAATTTCGTGGAATATTATTAAGTATATACCAATAAGAAATTTTAGCATGATTGATGGACTTTAGACTTTACGGTATTTATGGAGATTTAAATAGCAATAATCTTAAGAAAAACATATCAATTCAATTAAAATAGTATCTTACAACATTAAGGTCATTTATATCTAACAGTGCTTCTCAATTAATTATTTGGGATTTTATGACATAATCATTAAATATATATTTTATTAAACAAGATTAAGGTCATATTTTTTATTAAACAAATGTTTTCTTTTTATATTAATTTTATGATATAGTTTTCATTGTTAATATTCTTTTTATCTATGGGAAAATGTCTACGAAATTGAAAATTTAAATTTCATATTCATAGAAAAAAATTGAGGAAATTTTATTTTTGATTTTATGTAAATTTAATAATTTGGAATAAGGTGTAGGAATGACATACGTCAAACTATGTATTTGATACTATTATTTAGTAAAGCTAGAAAATGCTATAACCCCATTGATAGATATCTGTAAGAATTGCAAGAATGTTATCATTTTTAAATAATACTATTAATTATCCTTTTTCTAACACAAAAATCCTACTCCTTATTATTTTATTTTTTTGTGTGATTGTTGTATTTCTTTAAAAATAAGAATCCAATAAAGAAATTTGGATAATTAATGTTCACTTCATCTTTTCTTGGTCGCAAATTGTCAACACGGTTAAAGCTGTTTGTTTTGTTTTTGTTTTTTTCCTTTTTTTTGACAGTTAAAGCTGATTTTCATTAAATATATTAATCAACCTAATTACAAAACTACGTGTACATACTTTAATTTTCTCATAATCACAAAACCATTAACTTTTTACATGCTTCGACTTCTCCTAAATACAAACCACTTTAGTTTCCCCTTGATTAATTACAAAAGTACAAGTGTCATTTATCAGCAAATCTATTGTCTTGCATGCAGCATACCTTTAACATACATAGTTAGATTCTCATCACTTATTGTAGTTTCCTTAACGGACACTTTTTCCGATCAACCTTTCACACTAAACGGACACTAAAGAGACGACACTTCGTCACAAGCAGACGTTACAACAAAAAACTGATAAAGATTTTTTGACTTTCGATTACAGAGGAAAAGAATCTGACTAGATATCACTAAAATTAAAATTAAGAAATAGTAATAATAAAAATTTTGAACCCTAGAAGAAATATTGAAAATCGATAGATAGCAGTAACTATTTTATAAATGTACAAAAAGATTAAAAACAGATTATAGTAAACAATATGATTTTTTTTTTGATAATTGAAACAATAAGGTTTAAAAACCTATTTTCATGTTAACAAAGAAAAAAAAAAAACTATTGTCATGAATCATGATGTTTAAATATTAGATATGATATATAGCTGGTTATATATAATATATGATATTTGTCGTTGTGTTGTTCGTTTGACTGTCGTTTTATTGATGTGATTATTTGATGACTACAAATTCCACTTTTGAACTAAAATACTGGTTAGTAATATATTTAACATTACATGCTTTTACTCAAAAATAAGAAATGCTAAAATGTAACTGATGCTTTACCATTTTGTTTTTAGTATTATAGATTGAGTCGTTATACTATCGACAAAAATTATCGTTAAAATCGTTATACGGATTATTAAAGTATTTACAAATATCATAACTAGAAGTTTATTAAAGTTCTGATATGAATTTGTCGCTTTTATCAGTCAGAACATTTTAGATCTAATTACAATATCTAGTAAAACTAACGGTTTTGACACGCATAATACCCATCTTAAATAATAAATTCAATGATTAAATAATATTTTTCTGCCTGACATGTCCTTTATATATATATATATATATGTATATATATATATATGTTATATATATATATGTTATACTGAAGTTAATTTTTTCATGAAAACGAATTTTTTTTTTTTTAGTTTTTTCATGATTTTAGTAAAAAATATATTAATTATTTGTATGGGTGATATTTTCTTTTAATCAAATAAGTAATTATTAAAAATGCAAACGTTATTTTCGTAAGTTAAGTAATTAAATTTATTCAATATGTTTGCACACGATAGGCCACCTAATTCAGTAATTAATTAAAAATGTTATATTTAATAATAGTAACATTTTTTATAGAGTAATTTTTTTGTTAATAGTGTGAAATCGTCTAGAAACCCTAAAACACTTAAAGTGACAAAGCTCTTTGCATTTTAATTTTTTTGGATCCTGTCGTTCCATGAAACACAGTAAATTTAGTTATAAACAGTTTTTCGTCTCCAACCGAATGGCCAGCGTTTTCAGTGTATTTGGAGGAATTTCAGAGCGACAAGGAGGAGTTTTCATTTTTTTCTTTATGAATAAGAATCAAGCGCATGTAAAGTTTAAGTAATAAACAGTTTTGCTAGGAGAACATTGAACATTCTCTAAGCCATCATCTAATCTAGAAAGAACTAGGTATAACATTTTAAATCAAATATTGTCTATGAGTTGAATAAGGGCAAAAGCTGCAGATACTATTAATACTAGCTAACTTATTTTTAGAGAACTTTATATCTAAACTTTTTTTAATTTCTGCTAAATAGTTTAATTGGCGAAGAAGGACAAATGTAACCAATCATGGTCGAAAAACAAAAACTTCTACATAATAAAAACTAAAAAACATATACAGTTAGGAGAAAATAGTCTAGTGATTGAAAGATATATTTCGGAATTAGTATACTAGCTATGTTCATGTCATTATATATATATCTAAATAGTAAAATTATCTGATTATTCCAAATATCATAAGAATTATTGCACGTTTTGGTATGAGATTAGGAAACGAAAAATAACCAGAAAAAAATGAAAAACATTTTGTTTTTTTATACGAAACTCGAAACCTAAAAATCAGATATTAGCCACATTATGTATATATAAAGATCAAAGATAAACAAACTAGGTTTTTTGATCGTTAATTTTAACTACATCATAGATAAAATTAAAGTTAATCTTGAAATAATAATAAAAATTCATAATTTATTTAGAATTTACATACAATATTGTAAGATTATCCCTTTATAGCACAAATCCAACAAAGATGTAAGAAATCTATATGAAAATCAATCCTAAACAAGAAAGAAAAAATATGGAGAGATACTAAAAATTCATATATTTTATAGTACTACCAAATTTTTTTTTTTGGGGGTTAAATCTACCAAAAATTTATTGGTAAATAGCATTAATTTTTTCTTAACTTAGTCTAGATTTTTTACATTAATTAGCACACGCTATTTCTGAGCAATGGTAATATTTTGTTTGTATCTCTTTTTTCTAATTTTTCTCAACTTTTCTTAATTTTCAATATTATCATTAAAATAGTAAAGAGAATTAAGTTTTCTTTTATCTCATATTATAATTATTTCTTTCTACAAATAATAATTACATATACACCAGTACAATATTACCATATGTTGCATTTGCGTGTCTACTTTACTCGCCTTTAAATAGTGAGCTTTGTGTAACCTAAATAGTTCATACAGACTTGAAAGAACAAAATAAAACTCTTTACAAAGATTATTAGAATGGCTTTTGCTCAATCTTTTCACAACCAAAGCTCTATCTTGAGAATCAATGTCATGGTTGTGGACGACGATCGTGTTTTCCTTAATATTTTGTCACGCATGCTTGAGAGGTCCAAATACATAGGTAAAATCTTATTATCATATATAATATGTTATTGATTTTTTGTTTGTGATTTCATTTAGATTTTTTTTTCTATTATTTTTTTAGCATGAAATACAATGTTTGTAGAAACAACTAGCATATTTAAAAACAAAATTTGTTGAAATTTAACAATTATTCTTCTAAGTCATCCGGATTCGAATTCTATTTACATGTGCACATCCACAATTTTGATTGAGGTATTCTTGTTTTGATGACTTTGAAACGAACAGTTTGATTGATAAAAAATTCTACTAACAAATATGCCATGTAAAGTTTCTTTTCTTTTTGTCAAACTATACTGTATACTATGTAAAAAAATTGAGAGATAATTGAACAATGTTTTATTTAGAAAATAGAACATAGTGTTGAATTAAAAAGAAATTATTTGTAGATCGTGTTTGCATACGCATGTGATTTTTCTTAGTTTAAAAATAGCTGATATTCTTCAAATCGACTTATGAGTAATCAACCAATTAGCCTTTCAATCACAAGAATTTGTAAACACGTCAATGAAAATGTTGTGATAATAAAGAATATGCTTTACTTATGCTATGAACTTTTCTCAAAATTTGTAAAATATTTCATAGCTAATGTGGAAAACTTATGTTTCGTATATAAGCCCTCCATACAAAACATAAGTAGAACTTATGAAAACTAATTTTTTTTAAAGGTTAAACCAATAAAAAAAAAAAAATTCTTAGTACTTGCAATATTTTTCACATTATATTTAAGTTTATTAACTTTATTTGGGTTAAATGATTTTAGATCCATCGGTTATGAAGATCACAGTTGTAGCGGTAGACGATCCAAAGAAAGCATTATCTACACTAAAAATTCAACGAGACCATATAGATCTCATAATTACAGATTATTACATGCCTAGCATGAACGGTCTACAACTCAAAAAACAGATTACTCAGGAATTTGGAAATTTACCGGTCTTAGGTAACATTTTTTGTTCTTTACAATTTAAATCAAATTATGATATATATTTTTTTGTTATAGTTTAAGATATATTTAACCGTTTGTTTCCTCTTACATTTATTTTAATATAAAAGTTATGTCATCGGACCCCAACAAAGAACAGGAGAGTTTAAGTTGTGGAGCGATGGGTTTCATTCCAAAACCCATAGAACCAGCTGACTTAACAAAGATTTACCAGTTTGCTTTAACCTACAAGATGAACGGTAAGTCAACATTATTGACCGAGCAAAACCACAAGGATGCAAATGTTAGTGTCCCTCAGCAAATCACGTTGATTCCTGAGCAAGCTAACGTCTTAAAGACCAAGAAGAAGAACTGCTCATCTAAATCGGATTCAAGAACCGTGAACAGTACAAATGGAAGTTGTGTTAGTACGGATGGTTCAAGAAAAAATCGAAAAAGAAAACCCAACGGTGGTCCTAGTGATGATGGTGAATCTCTGTTGCAACCCGCCAAGAAGAAAAAGATTACCTGGACGGATTCTCTTCACGACCTATTCTTACAGGCTATCCGACATATCGGTCTTGATAGTAAGTGTTTTGATTTTTTATAAAAACTTTTTCGATACATATAGTACATGATACACTGTTTATTTTCTTACAATTAAGGTTATATATATACCACACACTATAATTAACTAATGTTTTATGTTTGTTTACTAATCTTCCACAGAGGCGGTGCCAAAAAAGATCTTAGCGTTCATGAACGTATCATACTTGACTAGAGAGAACGTAGCCAGCCATTTACAGGTTTGCTATCTCTTGTTAAAAATGTTTTTGGATCTTATTGTTTAAAATGGAAAAAGTAGAAAATACAAAACCTTACTCGAATCAAAAACAAAAACTATCTTATTAAGCACAAAAATCTTCCAAGTTTGAGTTGATTTGAATCTATCTTTAGTCAACAGAGCTCGTTATAACACCCTCTAATGTAAACTTGGGGATTTCTTTTTTCTCCGCTTTAAATACATCATACCATAGATTATGTGTCATTCTACTCTTTACTTAACTTAAATTCATTTGCAACGTTATGCAGAAATATCGGATATTCTTGAGGAGAGTCGCGGATCAAGGTTTTTCAAGCATGTTGTCGGATAGAGGCATAGACTCGATGTTTCGACAAACTCACATTAAGGAGCCGTACTTCAACTGTTACACACCCTTTACTTCTTGGTATGACACAAGTCTTAACAATAGATCATTCTATTCCAAACCCGGACATGGCCTTGGACAGTCTAGACTCTTGTCCAAAACACGTGAGCCCGTCCGCTTCAACCTGATGCCTTACAACTACATGAACCGGTCATCCACCTATGAGCCGCACCATATAGGATCTGGATCAAACTTGACGCTGCCCATCCAAAACAACCTCAGTTTCCCAAACCAACCATCTCAAAACGAAGATATAAGAAGCTTTTTCGAACCACCGGCCGTGATGGCGAACAAAATCGTCCAAACATCTCAAGTTCTTGGGTTTGGACAACTTGGACCGTCAACTATTAGTGGTAATAATTTCAACAATAACATGATGAGTAGCTATGGAAGTTTGACTCCGAATCAACCGGGATCTAGCCACTTCTCGTATGGGATGCAATCGTTCTTAAACAATGAGAACGCAGCATGTAACCCTCAGCCACCTGCCAATGCAACTACACAGCCAAATCTTGCTGAATTTCCTCAACTGGAGAATCTCGACTTATACAATGATCTCGGCCACACTAGTGACCTTCCTTACAACATAAGTAACTTTCAATTCGATGACAACAAGGTAAATTTTCACAACCCTAATTTTACAAATATATATATATATATATATATATATATATATATATATATTATACATGAAGTATGTGCTGTGAGATGTGTATTTTAAAAATTGGTGTGTGCAGCAGCAACAAGGAGAAGCGGATTCCACCAAATTTGATCTCCCTGCAAATTCTTCGACTGAACTGAATCAGATTTTGTCTCTTGAAGACAATGGTGACTGGACCTTCGCGAACGTAAACCAGGTATTTACAAGTTATTAAGAGATCTTAGCAATTACTAAAAATCAAATTTGAACCAACATCCTATCAAAGATTAGATCTTATCAAATTAATGTTTAAGAAAACTATCCATCATGGTAAAATTTCTAACTAGACAAGTTAATACTAAGTTTTTCATAGACATTTATAAGTTATTTGTTAGTTTTTCATGCTGCTAGTCTTATATATAATTAAATAGAAATCGGCATTTGTTTCCAAACACCTATTGAATATTATATACAATATTTATGTCTTATTGACTTACATGACTTCGTTGTGAAGGCTCAATCTAATGGAGAAACATCGAACACTATTGCTGCTCCGGAAACTAATCCTCCAATTTTCAACATGAACCCTAATCAGAATCAGGTACCTCTAATTTATACCAGTCTAGAATATTTATATGAAACTATGATACTTAATATCAACGAAATGATTGTTTAAATCTACTCTGAAACCTGGACTCGATTTTTTAGGGACAAGATGTTCCAGAGTTTACCGATTGGTCGTTTTTGGATCCGCAGGTAAACCATATAGTATTTACAAAAACTAAAAGAAATTATTTGTATTGTGAACCAAAATATATATATATATATATATATATATATAGTTTTGTTTGAAGTTTATGAGTCTTACATTTATGTTAATTTTTTCTTTTATAGGAATTGGTTGATGACGACTTCATGAACTCTCTGTTCAACAATGACATGAATTGATCGAAATAGTTTTCTTCTCCCAGATGTTCTCAAAAGCAAGGTGAAGAAATAAAACCGGCGATACCTAGTAGTTCTCTAAGCAGATAATATACCTAGTAGTTTTCTAAGCAGATATATCAAAAAAAAAAAAAAAAAAAAATCGTAGAAGTATGGTTTTAGTTATGTATTATATTTCAAGTATTGGATACTAAGTCTTTTTTTCAGCAAACTTAATTAGTATTGGATATTATATTATGTTATCTCTGGGAACTTTGTAATATAATATACATAGTAATGATAATAATACTATCCATTTGGGTTTAATATAGATGTCATGTGTTTGTGTTACATACATACAATTTACGATCATATGTTCTAAATATTGAATAGTACTATGTTTTAAACGAAATATATATATATATATATAGTATAATATTCGAAAAAAATATTATATAATACATATACCCATATATGTATATAAGAGTTTTTCATACAAAATATGACATGTTCGTGGACAATAAAATTAGGTTTTGGATGAATTTGAGTTTTATTGTAGCTTTTAGTTTCTGAAAAATATATATGAACATCTACTTTTGTAGTTTTAATTATTCTTTCTTGGTAAGTGCAAAACCCAAAGTTCAAAATGATAACAAAACGTCAAAAACTTCAAAACATTGATCTCGTTGACCTTAGTTTTACTGAAAAAGTTCGATATATAAAAATCAGTTACGAAATCTAATACATGTACTTAATTTTTCAAAATCAAATTTGTGATGAAATGTACTTAATTTCTCAAAATCAAATTTGTGATGAAATCTTTTTGCTTTTAATAAGTTCTGAAAACTGCAGGAAATGCAATACTATTAATAAATTTTCAGAGTATTGCATAAATTGATAATTCTAAATCTAGTTTTTGTAAGATTTTTAAACTAATAAAAATATTTAATAATTAATTTAAAATAGATTTGTTTCTGTGAAATAATATAAAATTATTAAATTATATTAGTGATCTGGAAATGTACATTCCAAATCCACTTTAATTAGAAATATTTTAAGCAGTGAATCTTTAGTGATTTCAAAATGTTTTGGTAAAATTTATTAGTTAAAAATACAAAGATCTAAATCTCATAGTTTTAGGCAAGATTACAAAAAAAAAAATTGATAAAAAAATCATAATTTTTTTCTAATTCACCAAACATTTGGTTCAAATACACCCTCTAAGTCTAAGAGTCATATCATTAATTTAATTAATTTCTTTTAGTCATGGCTCATGTTTTGATGCGTGGTCTCCCATAAAAAATATTTTTTTTCGCTTCTGTGGCATATTTTAAAATTCGGTATTCTTCTTTATTCATTTAATTACTACGAATTTTTATAAAGTTTTTATGGTCCCTAAGATGTGATCGTTAATCTGCTTTCTGTTCCTAAAATTCATTCTTCTCTAAGAAATTATCAAACAAAAGATTTTAATATATATCATATTAATAATGCAAGTCGTACAATTTGACCCCAAAAAACCTCGCCTTTGTTGTGGTTATATTTAAATGAATTAAGTCGACGCCAAATAACAAATAAAATGACTTTAGTTTAACAGGGAATCCTCAACATAAACGTTTGCTTTGACGTCTTTGCAAAAAAAAAAAAAAAATGTCTGGTTTGATGTCAAATCATCAAAGTCCTATGTCATATAACTACAGATCTAAATATTTTGAGTCCATGGACTAAAGATCAAATGGTTATGAGTAGATGTTTTAGTCAATATATAGACATTCGTATCTAGTTACTTTAAGAGATAATTAGCTCAGAGGTAAGGATCTGAGATTAAATTAGTTTTTGATAAAATCTTGTCGGGACCTAAAACAATTGCAACATTAGTCCATTATCTTTCCGTTTTTAGCCCCACTCGCTAAGAAAAATGCAACAGTTTTTTTTGTTTCTTTCGAGACGAATATACGTGTATATGTATATTTGTCAAGCATCTGTTGTTCTATTATAGATATACATAAATCTACTTAGATCCACATCTCTACTTTATAGATCTGTATTTTGATGTGCATCTTTTTTTGTAGATATCTATTTATTTTCTTTTATTCCCACTTGATGTTGATACATAACTTACTGTTTAATTTTTTTACTGTTTAGAAATATGGCTGATCTGGAGCTGCTTTCCCGATTGTTTGCCGATAGAGAGGACCTCCTGGCGATAGGGTGAATATGTACTTCAAGCTCAATACGATCAAGGTTGTGTTGAAAGCTTTTACACCTAAAGAGAATGAAACCATTAGGCCTTACTTTGGAAAACTTCTTGATGTCTACTCCAAACTTGTCTTATCTAGCAAATTGGCTCACTTTCTGTTAATCCGACAGCTTAATGTTGTCAAGCGACAAAATTCAAAAGTTTTTCCATGTACTTGTTTTCATTCCATTGCTTTCACGATTAAATAGTATCTAGTTTTTTTTTTGTGTTTTTCTCGCTTCCCTCACTAAATTCCGTCTCCATATCCACAAATCTATTTAGATCCGTAATTTTTTAATTATCCCTGAGTTTAGATATTCAACTTCCCCTGTAGATCTATATTTATTCATGTATATTTTGTCAAACATCTATTGTTTGTTTTAGATATCCACAAATCTATTTAGATCTGTATCTATTCATGTATATTTACCAAGCATATGTTGTTCTATTGTAGATATCCACATATCTACTTAGACACTCTGCAGGTTTGCATTAAATGGAAGTCGCCTCCTTCCTTCTGTCACCGCGTAACCGTCACGTCCGAAACAGAGACGTCGCTTCATCCTTTTTTTGCCAAAAAAGTCAAAGTTGCTATCCCACTCGCATGGATAAGTAAGCGCTTGGGTTTTCGTTATTTCGGAGAAATCGAAGGGCAGAAGTGAAGCTCTTTTTCCATTACTTGAAGTCAAAGCAGTCAATTACCTCTGCACTAATTTGCTTATCTATTTTTACCTCAACGCTAACTCTCCCTTACTTTAATATATTTGTATGGCTATATAAATTATTTAGGTTTATGAACCATTTTAAAATTCTCAGTCCCCTTCATAAGTGTTCATATACACTTCTAGGACCCCTTTCGTAAACATAAATTTTGTGGTGCTGTATATATATGTTATAATTTGGGAAAACAAAACATTAAATCTGGTACTTTAAAAAAGTTCCTTATTTTTCACTCCAACTCTTTCCAAAGAGTCACCAGTTGTAGAAAGCAAATATAGGTGTCAAGGAAACATTTAGAGCCATACCAAATCTTTGTGATAGAACGCAAGAACGTTTTTCTTATTGGATACCAATTATCAATTATGTCACAATAAACTATTTGATGTATCCTATAATTAATCCATTAATTCTTATTGGTTACTATAAAGGCTTAATCATATAAAAAGAACTTAAAATTTTGTATAAAATGTTAAATTGGCTTCAAAATAATAATAGCAACATTAACTAAATCTAAATCATTTCCTTAATGAACTTTTTTGTACTTTGCATGCCTTCTCTCATGTCAATGGACCATTGGAGGATTAGGTTTTTGTTACCTAAAGATTCTCTCTTTCTCTCTCTCTCTCTCGTTCTCTACTTTGTAGCCTAAGCAGGAAGCAATGAATATAATTTTGGTCACCAGAAGTTACCAATTCCACAAGAAACATATTCAATGTTATGATTGGCATGTGTTACCAACATGCCTGCTTTCTTTTCTCGTTTTTTTTTTTTTTTTTCTTTCGTCTTGTTGCTTTGATTTTATGGTTTAGACTATTTAATTTGATCATAACCAAACAAAAAAAATTGCCAAACCAATCAAAACAAGCGGAACAGTTAACTAACAAATGATCAAATTCTGATGTAAAACGATGTAATAAAATAAAAAATAAACTATTTAAAAGCATTAATAATGAAAAAAATTGTTCGAATCGATAAAACTAATTTATACCTATCAAAAATTGATAAGAAAAAATAAAATCCATCTAATATTGTATGAAAGGTTATTTTGTTGTAGATCACAATTCTCCTTATTTTACCTTTTTTTTTTCCGAATCACCCAACAAGGATAAAAGGTAAACGATAACACGCACCGCATATATATATGATGCATTCACCACTGATCACACCAACAATAAAATTCAAAACCTATGTCTCCATTATCATTAACTAGATTTTGACGATTTGTACATTTAAATCATCTAATTAATTCAGTATTGAATACTATATGATTACTCACGTCATGAATGAGACATCAATATTAAAATTTTAATTTTTTTGAAAATTAAATATTTTCATTATCATTTTTTTGCTACTACAATTTTGAGTTCAATAATCTAGGTATTGGTGTCATCGTTTTTGCAACTTAGGATTCAGCTATCGGTTTATCATTTTATGGTGCATCAATTTGTCGACCATTTCAAAATTCACATAGCAAGAAGAAATGCCGCAACTACATAGTATGAAATTTTGACCCACGAGATCAAACAACCACATACAATTTTCTAAAACTATTACATCTTTTTACGATTATAAATTTATATACCAAGATAATGTAAATAGTTGTAATGCAATCATGTTCCAAAAAACAAAGTAGTACATCTTTTTGATAACTTTTTATTGTAATAGTAAAGAAAATCCAAATCTTTAGGTATTACAATGATAGTAATTGAACTCCACTGTTATTTTGATTGACTTAAAAGGGAGTCCAACCAAAAGATACTCTAGACAAAGCCTCAAAAAATAGCCAAGATCAAATCACAAATCATACACACCTCAGTTGAGATGAAAAACAAAACAAATCACATATGAAATCGGAGAAAATAAAAAACATATTTATCATGTGTGTATGGTGTTTATCTTAATCAAAGAATTCCCATTTGAATCTCGGAGGGACCGGTTTAACCGTCTCGGCCGCCTTAGCCGAATCAAACGTCTCCCATTTTGTAGTTACAACAGCCGGAGTACCTGATGAGGAGGAGGCATTGGAATTCCTGGGCTCCTCCTCCACAAACGATAACAAATCGCGTTGCTCACATCGCGTTTGCGTTTGCGGTTTGTGGCGGACCGACTTGTTGACTTCAACTCTTTTGGTAGAGTTTTTGACTTTCAAGACGTCGAGTGCCTCAACGTACTTCTGAACTCTTTGCACCTACCAAAATCAATTCAATATAACACACATAAATAATCAAATCAAAATTAGTGATTCGAACATTAAATTCTTAGGTGATTAGATTTTAAACCTGCATCTTCCTCTTCAATTTGACATCACCATCAGCAATAATCGCATCAAGTCTCAATAACTGATTCATCAACATCTCTATCAGATTCACAAGACTCTTCTCCTCAACGTTACCTCCTTTATTAATCACTGTCTCAAACGCCGACACCTAAAAATCGGAAAAATCAGACTTAAAGATTCAAACTTTGAGAAGAAACAGAGTCGCCGGAAAAACAAAAAGCTCTGTTTTTTTGAAGTACCTGACCAGCGAGTCTGTCGACTTCGAAACTAATATCAGAGATAGATTTAGAAGCTTTTTCAATGGCGGCGTTTTTCCTTTTTGCAAGGAGACGTTTCTCCTGAGAAATTGGATCTTCTTTAACAACAAGCTTTGACCGATCTTTAACTCCACAAAGATCAAGAAACATCTTTGAATCTCTTTCTTTGTCTTTGTACAAAACCTTCATGTCTTCATGGTGAAGTCCCACCTGATCAGACAACATCTTCTTCAACTCTCCTGTTACAATAATCCAATTTAAGAAAGAAAAAAAAAAACTAATCTTTTGGTTATTATATAAAAATGCCAAATTAGGAAAGCAAAAAATTGTACCGAAGGAAGATTGGGAATTGATGTTGATCTCGTGATAAACCGAACCGTATTTAACCCGAACACGAATGACACGTGGCACATCGGAGTTCTGATCTGTCCGACGTTGAACAACCATTCCTCCAGGTCGAGACTCCCACTCATTACCACTACTTCCGCCGCCGATGACCGGCGGCGATGTTCCTGTCTTCATTTTCATCATTCTTTAAATATTCTTTGCTTCTTCTAGTCGTCTCTGTCTCTCTGATCGACAAAAGATCGATCTCACATGTTATAAAGAATCCAAATATAGAGAGAAGGTAATGAATATGATTTCTGAACACGATCAAGAAGAAGAAGAAGAAGAAGAAGAATAATAAAGAAACGTCTGAACAAAGGGAAGTAAAATGTTATTTTTTCTGCAACTCTAAATTTTAATATATAAAATAAGATAAATAAATAAATAAAAGAGTGACAGCTAATGGTATTGTTGTTATGTCTCATCATCAGTAATCACACATATATATTTTATATGATTCCCACATTTTCTATGTTTTTTTTGTCTTCCTTTTTTCCATTGTTCTGTATCAGTTTGGTTGTCTCTATTCTAGATACAGATAATCCATCAATGTCAATGGGGAAAAATCAAACATATAGTTAGTTCTGCTCAAAAACCAATAGTAATTTGTGTGATTTCAATTGTCTTTTTACTAGACAATGTATCATGGTCATAATTTGCGTATAGATGAAATCTATATAGTAAATTTGGCGTTTACTCAACAACTTATTTTATTTTGGGAAGTTTTGTTTTGTGATTCATTGGTTCTCTTACTTTAATTGTTATAGATTTCTCAAGTTAACAGAATCATGAAAATTCTGACAATTTTTTTGGCCCACTTGCTAATTTCACACACAAGCAAAGTACAAATCTCATTATTTGTGTTTACAAGAATTCGGTGTCGTGAGAATTGGGTCAGTTAGCAAACATTTTATTGCTAGTGAAACAGAGCCTACCAAGTACCATGGAAATCTCTGGATCTTCCTCTTTTTTTGTGAAAATAGACTATGTAGCGACAAAATGGCAAACTTCAGTGTCCTAAACCACTGGGCAATTCATAACAAGTGTCATTTTCTAATGACCGCATGAGTTTCAGTGTCAGACTCAGAACAACAGCTTATGGACAAGACATCCAACAACAATTTCAAAATAGATCCGGCCCAATATCGTTTTTCATTTCTTTGAAGGATTTTCTTAATTTGACCATGGACCTGGGCCTCTGGGGTCTGGACACCTCTACCTAACCCACTCTAGCTAGATATGTTTCAAAGACAACAATGGTTTGAACTTTGAACCAACGCCAGAGACTTGTCATTTAAATGAAAATGGCTTCTTTGCCAGTTACTATGCCATGACTCCTCTCTTGTTTTCTACACAAGTTCTCAGAAAATTGTTAAACTCTCTCCATTCTTCATACTTATACAATTAGTCTCACATTTGTGGTTTTTAATCTCTGATTTTAATAGTTAAAACTCCTTTGTCCAAAAAAAAAAAAAAAAGGGTTAAAACTCCATAAGAAGTCTTTTAAATAGAACAGAGTAGCTAGCAATACCAACCATTTGTGTGTTTTCATGTGTGTCATCAATCTGACAAACTAATATTCTTCTCAGCGGAAGCTAACCACTTAACAAGCAAAATGGGGACAAATCAACACTGTAAAACCAACATCATTGTAAGTAAGTGATTACTCTTCTTGGGAGTTGCATGCACCCCCTCAAGGCTCAAGGCTCAAGCTGAAGCGGATTCTCTCATCCACAAATATCATTAAAATGAAAAAATTTCGAATATGAGAACACAAGTTATTACAGATAAGTACCACATGAGCCGTCTCCTTTTGCCGAAGCTCTTCTCGAGTATCTCTCCATCTTCTATCTAATGGAATTGAGAAAGAAGAGTTTCAGTTATAGAAGTTGAAAGACTGAGCCAAGTGGTGACAAATTCGACCGTTAGGGTCTTCACAAATTGGATATTTTGCAAAACTCATGTAATAATTTAATTATTATTAATAAGAGTTTGTATAAGTGATTTCCTTTTTCTAAGTGATAAAAGGAAATTTCTTTTTTTTTTTTGTTTGCGTTCAATTATATAAAATAGGAAAACTTAACCTTAATTTCCTTTCCTTTTCTTGTTATAATAAAATTTCCTTTTCTTTCGGTCATAACCCTTCCTTATAAATATATATACTCATCTCTCATCCATCTTAAGAATCAAAGTTCTCTTCTTCGAAGGGCAAAAACCCTGAGTGCTCTTTTTCTTCTTCTTCTTTTAAAAACTTGAGTTTCTTCTAGAGCAAGTTATCTCGAAACCGTCATGATTCTCGCTACGTCTCAGTTTTAGTCGATAATTAGAGAGACAAGGTGAATCTGGGATTCAACATGGGTAATCACCAAGGGATCAGAGTTACGGTGATGAAGTTGTGGCCGGGATATGAGAGAACACGACGGAAATCGATCGACAGTGAGATGACGGAGAATTCTTCGCCGGAGATTAATTATTTGTGATGATGTCATTCCACGGATTTTGTGGATGATGTTTAATCAGGCACAAAGAAGAATTTTGGTTCAGCACGGTGCACGGAGATCAATGGGTTACGGTGAAGGGTCATGAGATAATACAACTTCGAGAGATATCAGATAAGGAAAGAGTCTCGCTTTTCATCATATCCAGTACGATTTCAGGTGAATTTCTCTTCCTTTTTTAAAGTCAAAAATACGTTTTATAATTTCACCTTTTTTTTAGATTTTATACAAGTTTTTTTTTAATACTAAATTTACTAATTGATATGAATACTAACCGGACTTTGGATCCCGTCATTTGACCTAGTTATTTGATCGTTAGCGATTCCACAAGTTCAATTTGTTTTCGCATCGTTACGTAAATTTAGCATTGAATTTAATTTCAAATCTTTAATTTGTTTTTTTCTACGGATTTTTTTTTGTTTTTTGTTTTATACTAAATTTACAAATCGATATGAAAACTAACCGGACTTTGGATCCTATTATTTGACCTAGCCATTTGATCGTTAGCGATTCCACAAGTTCAATTTGTTTTCGCATCATTATGTAAATTTAGTTTATTTTTTCCTACAGATTTTTGTTCTTTTTTGTTGTTTTTATACTAAATTTACAAATCGGTATGAAACTAACTGGACTTTGGATCCTATCATTTGACTAAGTCATTTGATCGTTAGAGATTTCACAAATTCAATTTGTTTTCGCATCGTTATGTAAATTTAGCATTGAATTTTTAAAATTTTTTTTATTTTTTTTAATGGATTTTTGTTTTTTGTTTTTATACTAAATTTGTAAATCGGTATGAAAACTAACTGGACTGTGGATTCTATCATTTGATCTAGTCATTTGGTCGTTAGAGATTTCACAAGTTCAATTTGTTCTCGCATCGTTATGTAAATTTAGCATTGAGTTTTTTAATTTTTAATTTTGTATTTCTTCGGATTTCAAACAAGATTTTGTTTTTAATACAAATCGATATGAAAACTAACCGGACTTTTGATCCTATCATTTGAACTAGTCATTTGATCATTAGCGATTTCATAAGTTTAATTTGTTTTCGCATCGTTATGTAAATTTAGCATTCAAGTTTGATTTGTATTTTTAAAATATGTTTTTTAAAAAATTTTAGATTTTTTTTGACGGATTTCATAGAAAATTCGTTTTTGTTTTGCTTTTTTTTTTGAGAAATTGTTAAAAATGCCCCTTTTTCAATACCCTTTTTCAAAAATGCCCTTTTTAGAGTCCATTTTTAAGTTTGCCCTCTTTTAATTTTTAATGACCATTTTACCCTTATTTGAAACAAAATTAGGTCCACAAAATACAAAATATTTTTTGGCGGGAAAAGTGATCCCGCAATTTTCCCGCCAAAACACTTGTAAAAACCTTTAAAATACTTTGTAAAATTTTCCCGTAAAAATTTTTTCCGCCAAAAAATTTTCCCGCCAAAAATTTATTTTTGCGGGAAAAGTGATTCCGCAATTTTTTGCCGAAATTTTTTTGGCGGGAAAATTTTTGGCGGGAAAAATTTACAAGGTATTTTAAAGGTTTTACGGAGTATTTACAAGTGTTTTGTAAGGTTTTACAATGTATTTTAAAAGGTTTTGCAAGGTACTTATAAGGTTTTATAAGGTATTTATAACTTGTAAAACCTTATAAAAAATTTGTAAAACCTTATAACTTGTAAAACCTTATAAAATAGCTTGTAAAATCTTATAATATCTTATAAATACTTTATAAATACGTTGTAAAACCTTTTAAAATACATTGTAAAACCTTATAAATACCCTGTAAAAACCCTTTAAAAATATCTTGTAAATTTTTCCCGCCAAAAATTTAACGCCAAAAAATTTGCGGAATCACTTTTCCCGCAAAAAAAATTTTTTGGCGGGAAAAAATTTTACGGGAAAGTTTTACAAGGTATTTTAAAGGTTTTACAAATTTTTACAAGTGTTTTGGCGGGAAAAATTAGGGGATCACTTTTCCCGCCAAAAAATATTTTTTATTTTGTGGACTTAATTTTGTTATATTTCCTTATATATTTATGATATCTTTTATTAAAAGAAGGGTAATTTAGTCATTTTGTACATAAAAGGGGTATTTTTTAAAAATGGACATCTAAAGGGGGCATTTTTGAAAAGGGGTATTGAAAAAGGGGCATTTTTGTGAGTCTCCCTTTTTTTATATATATTAAATTTAACAAATCGATATGAAAACTAATCTTACGACCATATTTTCATTAACTGATCCCGTCATTTGAATAATCCAGATAAAATATCAAACGATAATATTTAGTATATACTCTTCTTTTCATTATTTTAGCTTTTTTTTTTTTTTTTTTACAAATTTGTTTGATTAAATCTGAAAAACGTTTGAATGTTTCTATAAAATCGAGTAACTAACATAATGTCAATATTTTGCTTATTCATCTGTTGATCAAAGCTAATGTTGTACAATCACTTCTCTTTGGCAAACGCAGCAAAGCTGAAAGGAGTAAGGGAGATAAATTGGGGATAGTGTTAGTATCATTAAAATTTATATAGCAACTAAAGAAAAACCTTTCACAAAATTACTGATGAAATATTGATATGGTATACATATAGCTTTGGGTGGTAAAAAGACAGCTGATATTTACCAAACAATAGCTTTGTTCAATCATATGTCTTCATATTAAATTTATTTGCTTTCTTTTTCTATAATAAATGTAAGAACTTGAAAAACCAACATGTTTTCATCCAATAATAATAATAATCTATTTAGCATATCTTGATCATGTCAGTAATAGAAGAAGAAAAACGAGAAAAGGCGGTACTAACCTTGCTGTTTTGGAGCCAATGACTAATGCAATCTTTGTGGTATTTGTGAGTACATGGTAAAATAGTCATTTTATCTCCACGAGCGTAATCTGACTGGCATATCATACACCTGTTTCCCCCTCATATTGTTATTAAATTTTTTAAGCATTTATGTATATTGTATATGTTATTCACTGGTCTTATCTATTTTTTTTTACGTCATGTATGTTTTTTTTTTCTTTCAACTAATTTTAAAATGGAAAAGCATTTTTAAAAAAATTATAAGATTTAATGTGGATGAAATTATAAGAACACTATCCTTTGTAATTTTAAAATCAGAAAAATATTTATGAATAAGGGAAATAAGAAAGAAGGAAGGGATATATATATATATATAAAGATAGTAATATACTTTTTATCTTCTAGAGAGGGTTTAAACTTGATGGTAGGTAATTGAGAAATTTGTCTGTCTGTTAATCCTTCACCTACACCTATGTTTACTCTTTCACGCTCTTGTATCCGCTCGATTATTTCCTGTGATACAGTAAGAATTATATATAAATATTGGACCAGTTTCTGTCTTGGCATAACGGTGAGAGTTCATATTAAATTTTCAGGCGAGAAAATGATATTTGAAAAAGATTATGATTGTTTTGGATATCCTTACATCGAGTGAATCTTGGTTTGGTTGATCTTCAAAGCGTTCTGCAAACGTATATTAAAGGTTAATTAACCGGTGAGAGAATTAACCGGGTTTTGATTCAGTAGTCTATATATACCATGATTGACTAACTGATCAAATAGTCTCTACTTACTATATAAAGACGATACTATTGATCATGTTACATAATGAAGACATATACCATATGAGAGTCCTGAGTATGAATGTGGAGAATCGTTATAAGGCATCGGTGTGGGTATTGGTCTTGGTACGATTGGTGTTGGTACAAACAACCGCCTTAGCATCAACATTAGCCACGATATCAAACATTTCAGGCATAGCCTATGGCGAGTGTTTGGCTGGTTTTGAAACTGACGATGATGATATCCAGAACGAGAAATGTCTTGTGAAGTATAATGTTCCGATGAATTGGGATTATAATAATGGATAGACATTGTAGGTTGGTTTTGATGATGATAATTAATCATCGGAGAATTGTCTAATACATGCACTGGAGAATCATCGACTCTACCACGTTCTCTTTGATATTCCTCGATTTTCCTTGTGATTTCATCAGCTTCTCCGAAGAAGTAATTGTATCCACCAGAGTTTTGGGAATCTCCCATCTAATTTATGTATTAGAAAAAGTTATAATATTTTGGGGAAATAGATTTTCTTTACTGATTTTGTTGTGTGACATGATATCTTTATACATGTTTCTATTTCGTTACATTGTTGTCGTGATTGAGTCTTAATTAGAGCATGTAAACATGTTTATGGAATATGCGAGAACGGAACTAATTAAACGTATCGAGTGATAAATGCTTAATTAGTATTCTTAAATTTTTGTTTCATTAATTATCTTTGATTATATAAAACTAAGTTATATATGTTGATCTCAAATCCTTAATAAGAAAATACAAGTGATGGGAACGAACGATGAGTAAAATACTAAATCTTTTCTCAAAAGTCAAATCCCGTTAGTTAACAAAAACAAAGCATGTGTTACCGTCAAATCAATGTTTATAAAAGACGTTAACCACTAATCAAGCATTTACGTGTAACCGGATCAACCAGTATTTGGGTTTTGAATAGAGAGCTTGTTGTTATTGTCAAAAAAAAAGAATAGAGAGCTTGTTGTAGAGATGTATATAAATGATAAATTAATTTAATATCTTAATTAATCTGTGAAATAAACTCACATCATCACACACTTTGTTATTTCCCCTAGCTTTTAGTTTTTTTATCATGCAAAACTTATGAAGTAACTAGACCAAGATCATAAAAAAGCATCACTTCACTTCATGACCTAATTATTCTCGAAGCTCAAAACTAATTTACGTACACTTTTCTGCTATAAATATAGATGGAATCCACCAATCCAATAAGTGAATTAAAATATAAGAAACAAACAATATACTATCTAATTATAATGGTATCTCTCAATTCCCTTGCAGCTATTCTCGTGGTCATGTTTTTGGCCACCGGACCTATGGTTCGAGCCCAACACTGCAGAGACGAACTGAGCAATGTGCAGGTGTGTGCGCCGCTTCTTCTGCCCGGTGCGGTCAATCCAGCTCCGAACTCAAATTGCTGCGCTGCCCTCCAATCAACTAACAAAGATTGTCTATGTAACGCTCTTCGAGCAGCCACCACACTTACCTCTCTTTGTAACCTCCCCTCTTTTGATTGTGGTAAGATGGTCCATCAATTAAAACCCTCTTCTTAGATTTTTTTTCTTTAACTTATTCAATCTAAACATATTAAAATGAAATGATAGATTCGTAGTTCGATTAATTTAGTCAATAGTGTGTGTTTGTTTTTTGTCTTTACAATTTTTTTGGACTATGTTTTGTGAATGGTACAGGTATAAGTGCTTAGTTCAGCAACGTTCAGTTCCAAGGATTTGGGGAGTTTGGTCTACAAAAGACAATAAAATAAAATAATCCCAATTAGAAATACACTATTTCTTTGCTGTTTTGTTTTGAATTTGGTTTGTTCAATACTTATGACAGATCTATTGATCAATACCGTTATCACCATTATTACGGAATATTTTCTATAATAATTGGCATCATTAGAGACCTGCTTTCATAACAGGCGTGTTAGGTTTACATATGCAACTTTAGTCCCTTCAACATTGACACACGACAACTATGATGTAACGAGTCCTAAGCGAATCCAGCTCCCCGGTTAACCTAATCCAAAGCCGCATACAACACATACGTCTCTAAAAAGAGGGGGAGAGGTCAATCAATCGACTAATAAGACAATATACATATTAAGGTACTGCATCTAAATGTTGAAACATATGTCTGGAATATCTTACATTTTGGTACGTATTGAATATAAGTAACGTAGCAATAAGACAGAAAAAATAAATTAAAACCCTTTCGGGATCAGTTCAGTGACATGAGAAAGAACAACCTTCTGGGTTACAGTTTTTCAGAGAATGCCTTTCTCACTAGTTGTGCAAAATTGGTCAAAACGGACAGAAACGCTTTTGCCTTTTGATTCGTTTATCAAAGCTTATAAACAGGGGTGATTCCAAGTAGGTGGAAGCATTTCCGCATGACTATGCCAGTTGCTTCACAAAGTAGGAGACGGCTTGTCTCCTCTGCTGAACCAATGACCTTTAAAAGTTCGAGAGAAATATGAAAATAATGGTGGAGGGTTGATTAGGCTAAATAGAAAAGTAAGAATTTTGGGGATGCTCACCTGACAATTGTGGTAGAATTTGGAGCACTGTTCGGATAAGCCGTAGAGGTACTCGCATACCAAGTGCGGTAACAGTTTGGTGCACGCTTCCTCAACCGTCTGCAAATCGTGCACACATGAATTGCAATTATTACTTAAAAAAATAAGTCGAACACTATATAGTCAGCAAGTGTTTTACCTCGGAAAACCGAAGCAGGTGAAGCCCCAGTGCCCGTTCGTCTGCATGATCCAATGCTAGCTTTCCTGCCTGCATTAAAATAGGTGCTGAAACGTATGAATTACAGCGCAATACACAGACTTGGTAGGTGTTGACGTTATGAAAAACGTATAAATCAGCAAGTTTACAAATCCAAGAAAATTAGTGTCTCGTTTCCTAGAATATCATATCATACACAGAGCTTAAATAATGACAAATGGAAAATTCAGGTGCAGTCAAGAGGACGAACCGAAGACCAAAAGGGAACAATGATTACAAGAATTAAGTACGGGTTCATGCTAATACAATACCTTTTTCAGCTCATCTATGTCTTTGCCAGACTTTCTGATGATTGAGCAGATCCGAGCATGGGCGTAATGAAGGTAAACTGCTGTTTTTCCCTGCTCATGACATATGATCAAATATTTAATAAGCATGTGCAGATGACTGCATAAAGCAAATATGTAGAGACCAGCTGTCCTATCCAGTACCTTGTCACAAAGCATTTGATCATAGCTGAAAGTATAACTTGACAATCTGTTGTTCTTCAGGTCAGCAAACCTTGAAAGAAAAATTAAGCAAAACCACAAGTCAGCTGAATAATCCACTATCACCAGCAGTAGAATAGAGATGATACTTACTTCACCACACTGTATCCAATTGCCTCAGCTGTTAGGTCCAGCTCCTTGGGTATTTTCAATTAGTACCAATCCATGTATCTCTCTTCCATTATGCTTTAAAAAGATATAGTACAGGTCCAGCTATTCCTTTACCTTTTCTTAAAGTTCAACTTGGAGGCGCTGAGTAACCTTGTTAGACTCGGTTCGGCTGATTTCACAAATCTTAGCCCAAGCTTTGACGTAAACAGGAGATCCTCTCTGCACAGAATAAACGCAACAAAGAAAGAAGAAGACATAAAAATTAGAGTCAGACATGAGAGTGAATAAGATCCTGCAGCAGCTGGTTACCTGTAGACGGACCAGAGCACGTTTGGCCTTTTCCTTAAAGACAGGATCCTCATCAAATTTCGCTTTTGATTTTATGTAAAGCGCCTATCAGAGATATGACATGTGAAGTTAGAAACTGAATAGCTATGGAACAAAGCAATATTGGTAGAGAAAAGCGTGAGAGGTCATATGATGTAAGACAGCTGACCTCAATATATTCAATTGTTATCACAGCATCATTAGGTAAACCAGGAAAATCCTCAAAGAGGTACTCGATAATCAAGCCAAGCTGCAAGGAGGCAATTTTATTTGTAATTGATAAAAATATTGGAATAAGAAAATTAAAGAAATCACTCTTGGAGAGGAGAAAGAGTAGCTACTTGTGTTCCCCAGTCACCGACATGGTTTCTACGTACAACTTGAACCTTTGAGTACTCCAGCAGACGAGCAATCGTGTCGCCGATGATAGGTGATCTTAGGTGACCAACATGTAATTGTTTTGCAATGCTGGGAGAGTAAAAATCAACCACGGCTCTCTTAACCGGAAGAGTAGGCGCCCATGTGTCAATTCCATTGATAAGCATATTCTCAATGCTCTGCGAGAAATAGATAAAATTTAAGATAGTCTAGGAGATAACAACTATGTATGCAAAATGAGCATTGATAAATAGGAGATAACTCTGTGAGTACCTTGGCCATAAAGTCAGATGATATAACAACATTGATAAATCCACATCCAGTAACAGAGCATGATTTCACCATCTCAGAGGCAGGGAAATTTGAAACAATGAGCTATTATGTGAGAAAAAAAAAACAAAATCCGATAAGAATCTAATACATGACCATGAATGATACAGCATACAAAAACAAACCTATCCAATAACTCGAGTAAAATCGGACTGGGAAGGTTTTGGTGCCAACTTGTGCATTATATCGTTACTGCAAACAAACAACAGTACAATATTGAAACAGAAAAGGAATTTAATTTCTTTGCATTGAAGTTAGTTAAACCGCACCATTGATAATCTCCAACTTTTCGGTTTGGACCTTTGGAAGCGACAAGCGAGAACTCCTCAGCAAGAGCATCATCAGGTTTTATTCCCAGAGCCAAAAGAAAGAGCTTCTTCAGTTCCCGTTTCAGATTTCCCCCGAATTCTCCCACCGTCGCTAGTTCTTCCATCGACAGTGTCTCTTTCGTTGCTAAAATAAACGAGATAGATTACTGCTTAGACAGAGGAATTTTACCCAAGACAAGAATAAGCAGATGCGAAAACCCAAACCGTCGGAGAAGAGAGTATTTAAGGCTTTCTCGATGAGGGGTGATGTTGTCTTTTTTCCACTTTTCCTTTAATTTTACACCTTCCTTTTTTATATATTAAAACAAAATTATTCTCCAGCTCTATTATAAATAAGAAAAATATCATTTAAATCATCAGTTTACCATTTTCGTTGGTTTAAAACATGAATTTTGGACCTAATGATTTAAATCCTTAATTTTATGTAGACCTAGTGACTTAAATCCTCAATTTTATGTTAACATTCAACTTAATCATAAATTTTCATTGACTAAGCAAATCAAGACACATTGTTAACTGGTTTAGCGGAGATGTCCTTGCATAGTTTTTGAAGAGGAAGATGAAAACCTTGTTGGTGTATAAAAAAAATTATGTGATCCCTTCGAAATGCCAGTTATGTCATGACATCGTCTAATTGATCCGTTTGGCCAGTTAACGATGTGTCTCAATTGGCTTTATCAACGAGAATTCATGATTAAAATTATAAATATTGCCAGTGCCAGATTTGTAAGGAGAAATTCTTGCTTTTGCTTCTTTGTAGGTCTATTATGAGCGGAAGAAGGTTGGCGCAAGGGATGTTGCTATTTGTAGAGTGGAGCAGCTTTGTCCTTTCCCATATGATCTCATTCAGCGTGAGCTCAAGAGATATCCAAGTACGTACCTAAAATATCTTTGGTTTGTTCAGTTTGGCTAATTATGTCTACCGCATATAACTTGTTTTTGTATTGGTCTGAAACAGATGCGGAGATCGTTTAGTGCCAAGAAGAGACGATGAACATGGGAGCATTCAGCTACATATCTCCACGGCTATGGACAGCAATGAGAAGCTGAAACAGAGGAGATATGGAAGACATTAAGTACGTTGGTCGGTGGTCCTTCTGCGGCTACTGCTACCGGGTTCTACACTTTCCATGTCAAAGAGCAAGCCGAGCTTGTCCAGAAAGCCCGAATTCGAACCTGAACAAGTATCCGAACATACCCACAATATTAGTATATAGTTATAACATATAGTAATTTATATTTATATAATAACCTAAATGCCTAAAATATTTGAATGTTAAGATATTTTCAGATATTTTTGCTATTTTTGGATAGATTGCGGTAAAAAAAATATTCGTGTTTTGTAAATTTTGTCGAGTAGTTTGCATAGATTCGAATACAATTTTTTAATATTTGGATACTTCGAATAAATCTTGAATTCGAACCCGAAAAATCTGACCCGAACTTGAAGTTGAAAATACCCTAACTGGATTTATAATGGGAAAAATGTTATTTAAATCATCAGTTTACCAATTTCGTTGGTTTAAAGCATAAACTCCAGACCCGGTGATTTAAATCTTTAATTTTTTGTGGATTTTCATTTATATTATACAATGTAACGAAGCTTATACCTTTCCGGAGCAAAGTACCAATCTTCTGATGCCTTTTTCAAGATCAGAGTGATCATTCTGATCCTTGATTAATCGCTTAAATCTAGTTCCTTGCTAGTCAAAACCTGGGGGGCCTTGGACATCATCAAACTCTCAGAGATTTGATTTGCAGTAAAAGAAGTAAAGAACAGAATCGTTGGTTTTAACCAAACCAGAGATTTGGTTTGGAGTAGACCGGAGCCATTGAACATTGACTTTAGTTGACTATGACTATGAGTCAAAGTGTGCAATTTTGTGACGCGTGTAATAAACGCGCATGACCTAAGGTCTGTGTTAAAAAGCTTACTCTATAGTCTATATACAATCACACTTTAGCTTCTCCATTCCCAATTGTCTCTTCTTCTTCTTCCTTTTTTGTACTTCTCAAAAAACAAATATTTCTCAACCGTAGAAAAGTCCGACAAAAGTTCAGTTCAGACAATGACCTAACTCCTAAGTATGGGTTTCTTTGGAAGACTGTTCGGAAGTAAGAAGCAAGAAAAATCAACACCGAACAGACGAAGATGGAGTTTCGCTGCTAGATTCTCAAATCCGGCGAATGATTCGTCTTCTCATCCAAGTAAGAGACGTGGAGATGAAGATGTCTTAGACGCCGACAAGCATGCGATAGCCGTAGCGGCTGCTACAGCTGCGGTGGCTGAAGCCGCACTCGCTGCTGCTCGTGCGGCGGCGGAAGTTGTGAGACTAACCAATGGTGGTAGAAACTCGTCGGTAAAACAAATCAGTCGGAGTAATCGTCGATGGTCTCGAGAGTATAAAGCAGCGATGAAGATTCAATCCGCTTTTCGTGGCTACTTGGTAAGTAATTTCTTCTCTCTTAGTATAATACTAGTAATTATACTCAAATTCGAAATTTTAATCTATAATTGTGTTTTAACGAAATTAAGTTCTTGAGCCAAAGTGTGGAATAGCTGTCTGATGTTGATTTTTCTACTTATAAACCCAAATTGAAATATTAACTAAAAAATAGAAAGAATGAGAATAATTTGTATTTATTTGTAATGGTCCCCGAAAAAGACTATGAAAGGAGACAAATGAATGAATAATGATACCAAGAAACTTGTTAGAAACCGATACGATTCCGGATTCTCTACCGAGTACCGACACTATTTAATGGTACTACTTACTATAGCTAAAATTTGGTCCCAAAAAATATGCTAATATTATCTCAAACAAAATCTTACCTAACTCTGGATTCAGCTAAGGGCTTATCCTTTGTAATAAATCAATTTTTACCACAATTTATTTAGTTTGTTTTTTCTTTAAATGATAATTGGATAGGTTATGTAGTTCAAACACATAATTCAAAGATTCTCTAATCCTTTTGTTTCGGATAAACAAATTAGGTGTGTACCATTTAGAAGAAAATGATTGTGGTTGGGAAACTATAAGTAGATTTAATAGGGGTATTACTCTGTGGTTTGAATTAGGTGTGTAACAAAATTGTCTTTAATTCAGGCGAGGAGGGCTTTAAGAGCACTGAAGGCATTAGTGAAGCTTCAAGCGTTAGTGAAGGGACACATTGTAAGGAAACAAACGGCTGATATGCTGCGTCGAATGCAAACGCTGGTTCGGCTCCAAGCTCGAGCTCGAGCTTCGCGTTCTTCTCACGTTTCTGACTCTTCCCACTCGCCAACACTAATGATTCCATCTTCCCCACAATCTTTCCATGCACGATGCGTTTCAGAGGCTGAGTACAGCAAAGTCATTGCCATGGACCACCACAACAACAACCATCGTTCACCGATGGGTTCGAGCCGGTTATTAGGCCAAAGGAGGACAGAGGAAAGTCTATGGAACGCACCACAGTACAATGAAGATAATGACAAGATCCTAGAAGTCGACACTTGGAAGCCTCACTTCAGAGAGTCACCAAGGAAAAGAGGATCTCTTATGGTTACGACAAGTGTGGAGAACAGTCCACAATTAAGGTCTAGAACAGGAGGCAGCAGTGGTGGTTCAAGGAGAAAAACTCCCTTCACGCCTACGAGAAGCGAGTACGAGTACTACTCCGGGTATCACCCTAACTACATGGCTAACACTGAGTCTTACAGAGCAAAAGTCCGGTCACAAAGCGCACCAAGACAGAGGCTACAAGATTTATCTTCAGAGAGTGGTTACAAGAGGTCTATACAGGGACAATATTACTACTACACACCGGCTGCAGAGCGATCGTTTGATCAGCATTCAGATAACGGGATCGCGGGTTACAGAGGAGTTTCTGATGGGTTAGATCGAAACCAAAGTGAGAAATCGAAGATTTATACTTCGTTTTTCAGTTCTAATCCTCTTTTCTTTCAATAGTCGAAAGGATGAAAGAAAGTGAGTGGAATGTGTAACATTAGATTTCGACACACGAGTACAGAGACAGACAGTGATCAATCTGTATTTTCTATTGACTGTATCCAACAAGCTATAGGGTCCACACTTGTCTGATAAAAAACCTTCAATAATTTGAAGTGATGTCAAGTCAAGACGTGGGAATCACCACTAAAAGCAGTGAAATTGATTGATATAACCTTTCATATTAAACTAATATCTTCCTCTTTTTCTTTCCGGTAAAAAAGCTCAATAAGAGTCGCACACATAAGCAATCACACAATTACACTGAAACACTATAAAATGACATGATAAACCTATATATGCATTTACAAAGTAAAACATGTTGCTTTACTTATCAGATATCATCACACCTCCAACTTGAGGTGGGTACACAGCGCAGGTAGCGACACCAGCGGCAGTGATCATTGCCGTTTTCTCCTCGAAATAGCATCAACAACGCCACCACGAATCTGCACAACATTCACTTAATGTCTCACATTGGGATTCATGACAAAGTAATTTTACGGAATGCAAAAAAATTTACCCGGCAATCAATAGAACCAGAGATAAGAGCCACAATAGGTATTGGTAAGGCTTGTACTTGTATCTCAAAGGTGTCCCTTGTGGCATGTGCACTCTTGCTAACCACTTGAACTGGGGACGAGCCAGGAGAATGAAACCGAGGAGAAAACCCGTTACAAATCCACCCACATGAGCAAAGTTATCAACGTGAGGCAGAATCCCGATAGCCAGGTTTATCAAGATGACAAACAAAAGCGTCAGGAGTGCTGCAATCTGGTACATAAGTTCAGATCAGAAACAGCTAAGCATGAGCCAACATGATGGAATGATTTGTATCTTTGAAATGAAAGAGCAGATTGCTATTAACCTTGTTAGAGTAGATTGTCCAGTTAGTGAAAAGTTCAGAAAGCATTGAGCCAAGGAGGCCAAAAAGAGCACCAGAAGCTCCAACAGAGATACTGTTTCTGATAAACAACGACGACAGTACACTCCCTCCAATTCCCGATAATAGGTATATAACTCCTATTCTAACTGAAAATTTCAAGAACCAAGATTCAGATTTCTAGCAATAAGATAACACTACTTGAAGAATTGAAGACTAATGCTGCTCAGGCTAATCAAGGAATGCATACCAAAACCAAACTGCTGCTCGAGGCGAATACCGATGAAAATGAGGCTTAGCATATTAGCTCCGAGATGAATAACACCGGCGTGCAACCATATACATGTCAAAAGACGCCAACCTTCCTTCTTCTCCACAACTTTGCTCCACTCAAGTGCTCCTAACTTCTCCAAACTTCAAGTATATATCAACCAAACATAATCATATCAAAATCTTGTGTCTCAAACTCCCAATCACATAACTCCATCATTTACATCTCAAAATCCTATACAAATTTCTATTCCAACCCCTAAAAATCAGATGATAATTGATATAGTAACCGACAGAATTGTGAAACAGAACCAAAACGTTATTCACCAGTATTAAGAACCCTAAATCAACATCGATACTAAATGAATATAACGCAATTTTTTTGATGGAAACGTACGTGTGAGAAGACGGACCAAAGAGAGGATTAGTTCGGAGAGGCTCAAACGAGAGTCTACCGAGAAACCTGGCGACACAGTTACCTCTAAGACGGTGAGACTCGAAATGCTTCGGACAGTTATTGACGAACATCGCCACGACGAAAATCGCAACGTTAGCCACAACGAACATCGGAACAAGCCACGATGTCCACCGCGACGACAACGCGTTATCGCCAAATTCAGTAGACGACGACAACGCTACCGGCAAAGGAGGCGGTCCGATTCGATTCCGATCACCGCCTCTGCTACCGATCCCTCGATCCTTCGCTGACATTCGGTTCTCCAGATCATCATCTCCGACAGCCATAGTGATCTCTCTCTCCTCTGTAATTTGTTTAGTTGTTGTTTTTTTGTTTTGTTGGTTTTGTTTTTTTTTTGATTGAAGGCGGTAAGAAGAGTTATTAAAACCATATTTGAGAGTGGGTGAGAAAGTGGGTTTCTATTAACCAGTTAAATTCTTACACATGTAAATGTGTAATACGTTGTTTACCTTTTTTGTGGCACGTGTTACGGTGTACCGTGGTCTATTGCACACTGTATCATAACGTAGCTAACGTGCGCTTGATTTCCCAAATTGCTTTTCACGCTAAAGCTGTGTGTGATGTGAAGAGAGAATTAGAACTTTTCATTGTAATGTGTGGACCATTAGAAATCTTAGTTTAGGGATATAAAACGTTATTATCGGACATAGGTAAAATCCCTCTAAATAGAAGGATTATAACCACACCAGTAATATGTGATTTATCATGGAATAAATGTATGGATCGGAGTTACATGGTGAATCAAAATGCGGTCCCCAACCTGACAAACATATCTTGGTATATCTAACATTAGAGCATGAATATTGGTTGAAATGTTGAGTATCTTAGACAAATCTTATGATTAAAGTTGATTAAAAATAATCAAACCAATATCTTAAAGCTAAGATTTGTATCTAAGTTAAGATATTTTTCTTAACTTAAGATGTTGCAAGGTGTCACATTGTGATTGGTTTAAAAACAAACAAAAGAAGGACACATCCAGTTATGGAACGACTATTTCGTAGAAAATCCAACTTTCCCTCCTAATCTATTTAGACGCTGATTTGGTCGAGCATATATAGACAAAATATTCCATAAATTAAGTTTAAAACATTTGTGCTTTATGTTATTTATGTTATAAATTGTATCTCATGTATATTTTAATTTTTTTAATTTGCAACAATTATTAAGTTTTCTATAATTATAAATTTTATTTTTATATTAATATTATTTTTTAAGAACCACATGTTAAGAGCCTACCATTAATCATACAAAAATCTTAACACAAAAAAACTATCTCTTAACTATCACTTTTACAAATATATTATTTAAATATTGCTAAGAACTATTTCTAAGATACTACCAATAATCATGCTCTTAGAGTTAAACTTAGGATTTCAGTCGAGATGATTAGAATGAACTTTCTAGACTTATCTAATCTAGTTAAAAACTCATCACATAAAAGTTTTCGTGTGACAATCTCCAAGGGTTGTTCCTTTGGCTTTAGTGGTTGATGTTGGAGTTAGAGGTGTGCTACTACTCTTTGATTAATGCCTACAGAACATCCATATGCTATATCGTATGTTGTCACACAGAGTAGGTGGGAACTATATATATCTTCCTGATGATGAGTAATAGTCACGAGGGCCGGAAGAGATGGCTTCTTCCGGGAACTTTGAGACTACTTATTTGATTTTGTCTTGGTTTTATTATGTCTACATGCCATACCAAGATAGATTGTTGCAAATTTACTTCCAACAATCATACTATATATATGTCATAATCCATTAAGTATTATTAAATCTCGAAAAATATCTTATTTAGAAGAACAATTATTAATGTAACGCTTTATATATATTTTAAGAATAAAATAGTCATAAAAGAAGGAAAAAATTAATTGGTAGAGAATCCAAATTGAATTATCATAAATAATGATGAACATTTGTCTCATTTTAGTCAAATAAATATGAATCTCGTGAGCGTTTCGTTTATTACCTTATACGTAAATAATTAAATTAAATTGAAATACTTTATAACCGTTTATGATTAATATATATTATTTTTGTTGTTTATATATGGTTAGTGGTTTTAGAGAATACACAGTCACTCATAAGTCATAACTAGCAGAAATTTCAGATCTACAGAGTCATCGTTTGAGGAGTTTTGCAAAGTCATCAAGGTAGATATAGTCTCTTAAATCTTCTTCTAAATTTTCAAATCTTTTCAATTTAGGTTTTATGATTGCTATAAAAATTTTAATCAACTATTGTGATATACTGATTAGATATTCGCCATATTAGGTGAAATCGAATATCAAATTTCATCTTGTATTTATATTTTGACTATGAGAGATGCTTCAAATGGCTATATTTTAACATGTTTCCAAATTACGTTGGGTTTCAGAAAATGATTTAACTTAGTTGTGAGAAAAAAAAAAAGGAAAAAATGGTTGTTTAACTATTTTGTTTTTGTTTTTCTTTGACTATAATAAACTCCAAGGTGAAATATGTATCATTATCATCAAAGGAGGATTTTACTACAACAACAAAACGAGTTGCTGAGAGCAGAAAACAGAGCTATGATTCATGCTCTGACCTCTCCATCGATGTGTAGATCTTGCGATGGGCCCATCATTTCAACCGAATTTAGGGAGCTGTGGTTGGAGAATGCTCGTCTCCGTTCAGAGATTTATACATTGACTTGTTTCATATGGAGACTAAATTTGTTCAGGAGCCTGTATCCCGCAGCTGTTACATCTTTGACTGATTGGCATTACGCAGTGGCGGTTATGATGTCACTTTCGCTCAAAGAAGTTGTTTCTCTTGCGAGGCAAAGAACTCCGATGTGGCAAGCAACGGGAGACTGAATCTCGACGAATACTACTCTAAATACTTTCCTTGGTATGCGAGAAACGCACCTGGGTTTGTACATGAGGCATCAAGAGCTTCTGCGTTTGTCCCATGTGATGCTTCATCGCTTTTGGCAAATCTTATGAATCATGTAAGTGTGACAAACTACATGAAATCATATATAGTAATATACAGTTTTCCTTTTTTTTTCTTATATTGTTTGTTTATTTAGGTAACTTGGAAAAAAATCTTCCCGTCAATCATCGCAGATGTGTCGTCTATGGAATCACAACAACGAGGATTGCAAACGGTACTAAAAATTCATTTTTTCCAATGAATTTAGAACTAGTGATAATTTTGTATCTTTATAATTGTAGATTAATGTGGATTTTATGCCACAAATCTCCCCTTTAATTCAAACTCGAAATGTGAAACTTCTTCGACGCTCGAGGCATATAGAGAATGATGCATGGGTTATCGCCGATATATCTGTGTATTTTAGCTCATATTCTCAACATTCAAGCCCCGAGTTTATGAGATTTCCTTCTGGATATCTTATCCAACATATAGCCAATGGTATCTCCAAGGTATATTTCAATTTCAAAACGAGTTTATATATATATAGGGGCTAAGGGGTAGCTTTGTTTTGACTCAGTTATTATTTATAGGTAACCATTCTCGACCATTGGGTTTATAAGGAACAAGAAGCCATAAACATTTTCAATTCAAATTCAGAATTCGAGGCACATAGATGGCTCGCTGCTCTCCAAAGGCATTGCTACAACAATGGCTCTATTTCGATTCCTTCTGTCGGTCACCATATTCAAAGTAGTGGAAATTCTAGTTTTTTTTTTTTTTTTTTTTTTCTATTTATCAATTTTGGTTTGGTTTTACACTAACCATGTTTCTAACATTTGTACTTGTGTAGTATTCGACCCGATCTGTCTTACCAACTTGCTTAACCTATCTTCATTTATGGTTAACGCATTTTGCACTGGAGTTTGCGGGATAACCGGACAGAGTTGGAATCGCTTCGATACAGTTGGAGGTTCGGTCAATAACATTAGAATGTTCACGCGAGAAAGTCGAGACATGAGTGGGATACCTTGCGTTTTGGTTACCGCTACGGGTTTAGCTAGAATGCAAGCTAGGCCGGAAGTTATATTTGGATTAATCAAACGTGCAGAAAAACAAGAGATATGGGATTATTTAGAGTCTGCTAGAGATATGAAAGAACTAATTCGTATCGGTAGATATCCTAATACATGGAATGAAGTGTCTGTTTTCAGCATTGAGGTACGTAAAAAATATCATTTGGTTTATTTATACCATTCGATTATTGAGCATTTGATTTATAAAAAGTGATTAATTGATTATATTGCAGTGGAATGGTTCGAAGGAGTGGTATCTGATTCAAGAAACATACTACGATGAAACAGGAGCAATGATAATCCATGCTTGCTTAGAAGCGCCATATTTTGCAGCTGTAATAAACGATGGAGATTTGTCTGGCATCGAACTTTTACCGTGTGGATTCACAATAATGCCACACGGATCACAAGAATGTTTCGTTTCGGCTGGATGTCATGTTAGGGCCGACCAAGCTATGGTCACAAGTCCAAATGAGCTGGTGAGTTATGTTGAGGGCATGGTCACTGACATTCTAGGAAATGTCCAAAATGCCCTCCCAATCCGCCGTTGAATTTTTATGGCTTATGAAGTTTTACCGTTCTTGTTGTTGGTGTCGTCGTCGTCGTTGTTGTTGTTGTTCTTGTTTGAGAGTTTGGAATTGGAAACTTTATTTCTATGAACATTATTATCCTATTATCGTCGGTGATCATGGTTTTATCTAAGATTATGATATATTTCCATAGTAGATTAAATCATATAACAGTTTTTCTATTAAACACCAGATTTGGCTTCATATTTCTTCTCAACTATATATGTTTAAGAAGAACAAGCAACCCTTAATTAAATTTAAAAAAAAAAAAAAAAAATCAAGCAACCTTATACTCCCTCCCTCCGTATCTAAAAGATTGATTTTGTAGACTTTTCACACCAATTAAGAAAAATATTTAATGTTTAGTTATAAATGCACTATTTATTCATATCAAACTTTTTCTCATAGCTATTAACCAATCGTAATTCATTAAAGTTTGAAATTCTCAATTAATAATTCTTGAAATTCATAATTTATTAACATTAATTGATAAAAATTTATAGAAAATCAATTTTTCTAATACATAGGTAGTATTTTTAATCAAAAAAATATAAGCAACTCGAAGATGAATAACAAAGACGCCACGTGGACGAGTGGGGACAAGTGAAAGTGGAAAGTCGACGAAGCAAAAGCGAGGACGAACTAGATTTAGGGGCAAAATAGTAATTTCGCGTTTATGTTTCGCCTGCATCTTCCTCTTGTCTTTCTTTTTGTCTCACACGGACAAAATTAGAGAGAGAGAGAGAAAAGAGAGTTCGCGTGCTGTTTCAGTATCATATCTAATCCCAGATTCTTTCTTCCTTCTCTGTATATCTTTCCACGACAGTTGACCTAATTTTCGTCACCATCCAATTGGATTTTGAGGTTGAGAAAGAGAAGAGAGAGTATTCTCATCTGAAGAAGAAGATAGATTGATAGAGAGAGAGAAATGGGGAATTCATTTGGGTGTTCTGCCTCCGGCGAGAGATTGGTGTCGGCGGCGAGAGATGGAGATTTCGTGGAGGCGAAGATGCTTCTTGATTGCAATCCTTGTCTTGCCAAGTATTCTACTTTCGGTGGTCTTAATTCTCCGTTGCATTTCGCTGCTGCTAAAGGCCATAACGAGGTTTCTTTGAGTTCTTCATTGCTCATATCTTTAGTGTTTTCGAATTTTTAATATAAAGTTTTCTCTTTTACCCAATTTCTGATGTTAGATCGTTGGATTGTTGCTCGAGAACGGAGCTGATGTGAATTCCAGAAATTATTGTGGTCAGGTATTCGAGATTCAGCTTTTTCTCAACTAGATTTTGGGATTTGAAACTGTTGAGCTAATTCTGAGCTGATTCAAAAATTCAAGTTCGATTCTTTCGATTATACGAATCTTAATTTGATTGAGGGATTTGTATCAATAGTGAAATGTGAAATCTTTGGCTAAGTTTGAGCTAATTGGCTAAAAATTTGATTTTTTTTTAAATTCGGACTAGACGGCATTGATGCAAGCTTGTAGATACGGACATTGGGAAGTTGTGCAGACGCTTCTGCTTTTCCGATGCAATGTGAGTTGTTTTCATCATTAGTTGAAAGAAAACTATACCATTTGATTCAGATTTTGAATTCTTAGTATCGTCTTTCTTTGTCAAGGTTACAAGAGCTGATTATTTAGCTGGAAGAACAGCGCTTCATTTCGCTGCTGTGAATGGTCACGCCAGGTGTATTAGACTTGTCTTGGCAGATTTTGTACCTAGTGATAAGCTTAACTCTCTTCCTGAGACTGGTGTGGTCACTGCAAAGAACAAATCTGAGCAAAGGTTTTTTGCTTTGAAACCATCTTCTATGTTTGTAAGGGTTTGATTTAATCATATAGTTCCAACAAAAGGACTCTTTTCTTATGGTGCAGCGCATTGTCTAAATTTGTGAATAAGGCGGCTGATGGTGGAATCACAGCTCTTCACATGGCTGCCTTGAATGGATTATTTGATTGTGTGCAGCTTTTGCTTGATCTTGAAGCGAATGTTTCTGCTGTGACATTTCATTATGGAACATCAATGGATATGATTGGTCCGGCTCTCTATCCGCCTTCTTTTTTCTTGACTAATGGATTCTTTCTATATTTCTCCCAAGATGACAATTTTGTTCTTCTTTACTGTTTCAGGAGCCGGAAGCACGCCTTTACACTATGCTGCTTGTGGTGGGAATCTGAAATGTTGTCAGGTAAGAACAATACTACTAAGTTCATTCTTTTTGTTTTGGTTGTTTGGAGACAGAGTTGTGAGAATCTCCATTTTATGTGTTTCTCCATAGATTCTGCTTGCAAGAGGTGCAAGAAAGATGACATTGAACTGCAACGGGTAAGTTATTCCATCACAATCTTGTTATGTTTTGTTTCATGTTCAAAACCAGTTTCAGGGAAATATTTGACGTTGTTAGAATGAAAACTTTCCTTCCAAAAAAATGTATGTAGGTGGCTACCTATTGACATAGCACGGATGTGGAGTCGTCATTGGTTAGAACCGTTGCTTTCGCCAAATTCGGATGTTGTCATTCCAGCTTTTCCTCATTCCAACTACTTATCATTGCCCCTTTTGAGTATACTCAACATCGCAAGGTAATGAAGAAATCTCCATCTGAGTTTATAGGAAGGACCAAACTGTGGCATCAATATGACTCAGGTGATTTCTCTTCTTGTTGACTATTTGCTTGCAGAGAGTTTGGGTTGCAGTCTGCAACCATTGGAGATGAGGTCGATATCTGTGCGGTTTGCCTGGAAAGAACATGCACTGTTGCTGCTGAAGGTTCGGTCTAAATTGTTGCCATACCCTTTTAGAGATGTTTATGAATGTCCTTTAAAAGTTGTGGGTTTTGTGTTTCAGGTTGTGAGCATCAGCTGTGTGTGAGATGTGCGTTATACCTTTGCTCTTCGAGCAATGTTCCCTCGGTGACCGTTGGCCCACCCGGATCAATTCCTTGCCCTCTTTGCAGGCATGGAATTGTGGCGTTTAAACGACTCCCGAGCTCCCTGACCAAAGAAATGAAGTTACCTATGTCACTCGGGTTCTGTGCGCCATGTATGCTTCACACGGGAGACACAACAGATCAATCATCACCGACATGCCCACCAACAGAACAACGTAGCAGCAAGACCAGGGCAGCCTCGGTTTCATCTGATATGTTATGTCCTGTAACATGTAGCCCATTCCCTTCAGTCAACATTCAAATGTGCACCTGCAACGAAGGGACATGTCCAAACTTTGAGACACATGGAACAGATAGACATAGTGAAGAAAACGACGAATCTTCTCCTTCTCGAACAACAACTGAACAGGAGAAGATAGAAGAAGGGCAAAGACTTGGGAAAACAACAACTTGCTCAGGCATGTTCTGGGGAAGAAGAAGCTGTAGCAGAGAGAACCAATGCAACTCCGAGATCAATGCTTGATCACAAACATATTATTTGTATGTACAGAGAAAGAGAGAGAATCTATGTCTCCCATCATTTCTTACTTTTAAAATGGGATGAGCCACACAGAGTCTTCTTCTTAGGTTTGTTTTGACTTTGGAGAGGCTAAAGTTATTAATTATGGTGGAAGATTTGTAATTATCACCATAATGATGGGGTCATTTTGCAAAATCTTTGTATTTTTATTATTTGGACCCATCTATTTGTTTGTTGTAGCATATGATGAAATACTGAGACTTTCTTATTATTTTCAACCCAAGAAGAAGTCAAACAAAACTAAAAGTAATAATAACTACAAAAATTAATGATCCTATGAGAAAAATCTGACCACACAAGTCATTTTCTTCCTCTGCAAATAAATATCTTAATACTACTATTACTTAAATTATTTCTTGGATCAAAAAGAAAAAAAAAAAGAAGAAGAAAGAAGCAAATGAAAACTATCACTCAATTAATTGGACTCAAACTGGTTTGGTTTCAGTGATGCGCCCATTTCAAAAACATTCCCATTTTTGGCTTTGCAACTTCGAAATCTTCATATGCAGAGCTCTTCTGCATGAGTTTAAATTTCAATTACATTTTCATTTTAAATTCTTTATTAACTCTTTAATAGTAACTTATTACTATGTCATGATCTATAATTAATTCTATATAGCAGCTGCACTTTTTTTATTTCTGACCAAATCGTCTGTGTTCAGCCTGTAATGAATTTACTGGAAGTTATGAGTAAGAGTGGTCCACTAACCTTATAAATTATAATCAAGTTTGTACAAGAAAATTAAAGAATTGTTTTGATTTTTATTGATCAAAAAAACATTGTTCTGAAGATTTGAAAATCAAAGTATGGTTTTTTGTTCAAAACATAACATAAATTTTAGGTTTAGTAATCTAATCTAATCAGGTAAAGTCTTAATATGATTAGAAAAATGGAAACAGATCCCAAAGGGAAAAAGCTTAAACATTCCCAAAAGGGAAAGAAGACATGTGGGAACTCTGCTCTTTCTTCCCTTTTTATATTTTTCGTATACAATGGACCACATTTCTATTTTCTTATTTTTAACCCCTTTTCAATCTTCATGGTTATTATTTATCTTCAAAACAATTTTTTTTTTTTTTTACTTGAATACTTTAGAAACATGCATAATTTGTGTGTAAGAATGTTGACTGTCTAATTTTGTTCTGTTTTGCAATGAAAACAACCAAAACTTTATGTAGTTAGATAAATCAAAATTTACTGCTATAAAGTAAATGCAACAATTCCCAGACATGAACCCTAAAATTATTAGCTGTATCTATAATTGGTTTAATTGAAGCCTCTTCGGATATCACATTAATTGAAATACACAATTAATTGACCAGCTTTTTTGTAGAGAAGCCAAAACAAAACTTCAAATTTACAGTTTGACCACACAACTTTCGAATATTTATAAAACAAACCCCGTCAGCTTTAATCTGGTACACAGTGGTTGGGATTTCTGCAGATTCGAGCCGTACTCTCTCAAGACTCTGACCCATGCCTTCTTCTAACTCATCATCTCTTTTTTTTTTTCTCAGAATATATCTAAAAATTCACAACAAAGATTGAAAATAAGAATTATCTAAAATAAAAAATAGTTAAATTAAATTGCCGTTACGAACTTTAAAAACAATGGTCTTACGTCACGTGAGTTTCGTGCTTCTCTCTCTCTCCTCTTCTTCTTCTTCTTCATCTTTATCGCGCCTAAAAAAAAAACCTTCTTTTTCTCTTTAATGGCGTGATTTATCTTCTCCTCTTGTAAAACAATCGAGTCTTTCTCTCTAAAGAGTCTCTTTTAAAATCTCGAGTTAATTTTTCTTCCTTCTCTAACCATGACGTTTCTTCCCGCCTTGTTCCTGTGGTTTCTCTTCTTCTCTGTTTCAGACACCGCCATTGTTGATCTAAGCTCAGAGACGAGTTCTCTGCTCTCCTTTAAGCTCTCACTCGAAAACCCATCTCGCCTTTCTTCATGGAACGTTTCGTCTTCCTCGTCGTCTCACTGCGATTGGGTCGGCGTTACGTGTTTGTTCGGACGAGTCTACTCGCTCTCCTTACCGTCTCTGTCTCTCAAAGGCCATCTCTCTCCATCTCTCTTCACCCTCCGCTCTCTCTCCGTCCTAGACCTGTCGGAAAACTCACTCTCCGGCCAGATTCCGAAGGAGATTTCAACTTTGAAGAATCTCAAAGAGCTTCGTCTAGCCGGAAATCAATTCTCCGGGAAGATTCCGTCTGAGATTTGGAAACTAAAACAGCTCCAAACCCTAGACCTCTCTGGAAACTCACTCACAGGACTTCTCCCGAGTCAACTCAGTGAGTTACATCAGCTTCTCTACCTTGACCTAAGTGACAACCACTTCTCCGGTTCACTTCCTCCGTCGTTCTTCCTCAGCTTCCCTGCACTGTCTTCACTCGACGTCTCCAACAACTCACTCTCCGGCGAAATCCCTCCAGAAATCGGGAAATTGAGTAACCTCTCTGACCTTTACATGGGACTCAACTCATTTTCCGGTCAAATCCCGCCGGAGGTTGGTAACATCTCGTTGCTGAAGAACTTTGGTGCACCTTCTTGCTTCTTCAAAGGACCGTTACCAAAGGAGATTTCGAAGCTGAAACACTTAGCAAAGCTCGACCTTTCTTACAACCCACTCAAGTGTTCAATCCCAAAATCGTTTGGGGAGTTGCAGAATCTGAGTATATTGAATCTTGTCTCCGCGGAGCTTATTGGATTGATCCCACCAGAGCTTGGTAAGTGTAAAAGCCTCAAGACACTGATGCTTTCTTTCAATTCTCTCTCTGGTTCTTTGCCATTGGAGCTTTCAGAGATTCCTCTGTTGACGTTTTCTGCTGAAAGGAATCAGCTTTCGGGTTCATTGCCTTCATGGATCGGCAAATGGAAGGTACTGGACTCACTTCTGTTAGCTAACAATCGGTTTTCAGGTGAAATCCCTCGTGAGATTGAGGATTGTCCAATGTTGAAGCATCTCAGTCTAGCTAGCAACTTGTTAACTGGTTCGATTCCTAGGGAGCTTTGTGGTTCAGGTTCTTTGGAGGAAATTGATCTCTCTGGGAATTTGCTTTCGGGAACAATTGAGGAGGTGTTCAATGGTTGTTCGTCTCTTGTAGAGTTGGTTCTTACCAATAATCAGATCAATGGCTCTATTCCTGAGGATCTTTCAAAGCTTCCATTGATGGCAGTTGACTTGGATTCCAACAACTTCACAGGTGAAATCCCAAAGAGTCTCTGGAAATCAACGAACTTGATGGAGTTCTCAGCTTCTTATAATCGTCTAGAAGGTTATTTGCCTGCAGAGATTGGTAATGCAGCTTCACTGACGCGGCTGGTTCTCAGTGATAATCAGTTAAAAGGTGAAATCCCAAGAGAGATTGGAAAACTCACATCATTGTCTGTCTTGAATCTGAATTCAAACAAGCTTCAAGGGAAGATACCAAAGGAGCTCGGGGACTGTACTTGTTTGACTACATTGGATCTTGGCAACAACAATCTTCAAGGACAGATTCCAGACAGAATCACTGGTCTTTCTCAGCTTCAATGCCTGGTTCTCTCTTACAACAATCTCTCAGGGTCAATTCCATCAAAACCCTCTGCTTATTTCCATCAGATTGACATGCCTGATCTTAGCTTTCTTCAGCACCATGGGATATTTGATCTCTCCTACAATAGATTGTCTGGCTCTATACCAGAAGAACTTGGCAACTGTGTGGTATTGGTGGAGATTTTACTGAGCAACAACCATCTCTCTGGAGAGATTCCAGCTTCACTCTCTCGTTTGACCAACCTCACAATCCTGGATCTATCTGGAAATGCGCTTACTGGATCTATTCCAAAGGAGATGGGCCACTCTCTTAAGTTGCAGGGATTAAACTTGGCGAATAATCAGCTCAATGGCTATATACCAGAAAGCTTTGGTCTGTTAGATAGCTTGGTGAAGCTAAACTTGACCAAGAACAAGCTGGATGGATCGGTTCCTGCTTCTCTTGGGAACTTGAAAGAGCTTACACACATGGACTTGAGCTTTAACAACCTAAGTGGCGAGCTTTCATCAGAACTGTCTACAATGGTCAAACTTGTAGGCCTCTACATTGAGCAGAATAAGTTCACCGGAGAAATACCTTCAGAACTTGGTAATCTTACACAGCTGGAGTACCTTGATGTTTCTGAGAACTTGCTATCTGGAGAAATCCCAACAAAGATCTGTGGATTGCCCAATCTGGAGTTCTTGAATCTAGCCAAGAACAATCTGCGAGGAGAGGTGCCGAGTGATGGTGTTTGCCAGGATCCTTCCAAGGCATTGCTTTCAGGGAACAAAGAGTTGTGTGGCAGAGTTATTGGATCAGATTGCAAGATCGATGGAACTAAGTTGACTCATGCTTGGGGGATTGCAGGACTCATGCTTGGCTTTACGATTATCGTCTTTGTGTTTGTTTTCTCTCTGCGCAGATGGGTTATAACAAAGAGAGTGAAGCAAAGAGATGATCCAGAGCGAATGGAGGAAAGCAGGTTAAAAGGGTTTGTTGATCAGAACCTGTATTTCTTAAGTGGAAGCAGATCAAGAGAGCCATTAAGCATCAATATAGCAATGTTCGAGCAGCCGCTTTTGAAGGTGCGTTTAGGAGATATTGTCGAGGCTACAGATCATTTCTCTAAGAAGAACATTATAGGAGACGGTGGTTTTGGGACGGTTTACAAAGCTTGTTTACCAGGTGGGAAAACAGTAGCGGTGAAGAAGCTAAGTGAAGCCAAAACTCAGGGAAACCGGGAATTCATGGCAGAGATGGAGACTCTAGGGAAAGTGAAGCATCCGAATCTTGTGTCTTTGCTTGGATATTGTTCTTTCAGTGATGAGAAGCTTCTGGTATATGAGTATATGGTTAATGGAAGCTTAGATCACTGGTTAAGGAACCAAACTGGGATGCTAGAGGTTCTGGACTGGTCAAAACGCCTCAAAATCGCAGTTGGAGCTGCAAGAGGTCTAGCTTTCCTACATCACGGTTTCATCCCTCACATTATACATAGGGACATCAAAGCCAGCAACATTCTCTTAGATGGTGATTTTGAGCCTAAGGTGGCTGATTTCGGGCTAGCAAGACTAATTAGTGCCTGTGAATCCCATGTTAGTACAGTCATAGCAGGGACTTTCGGGTATATCCCACCGGAGTATGGTCAGAGCGCAAGAGCCACTACCAAAGGAGATGTCTACAGCTTTGGAGTGATTCTGTTGGAACTAGTCACAGGGAAAGAGCCGACTGGTCCAGACTTCAAAGAGAGTGAAGGAGGAAACTTGGTTGGTTGGGTGACTCAGAAGATTAACCAAGGGAAAGCGGTGGATGTTCTTGACCCACTGCTTGTATCTGTGGCCTTGAAGAACTCTCTGCTTCGTCTGCTTCAGATTGCTATGGTCTGCCTTGCTGAAACGCCAGCTAATCGCCCAAACATGCTTGATGTGTTGAAGGCCCTCAAGGATATATGAGCTGATAACCTTAAATGTTGTTCTTGTTTCTTGTTGTTTAAGTAACCTGTTAGTGCTAACCAAACAATGGAGTTGTAGGGTTTGTATTTGTAATGTTAATGTAACTCTGTGTTCTTAAGTTTCTTCTAAATGTCGAACAAAGAAAATTAGGTTTTCCAAATTCCAGATAATCACTTTGAATTAGTGATTGTGAAATAAATAGATGCTTTTACCAAACCAAAGAGAAAACTTTATAAACCAAACAAGAAACTTTAATACCGGATCTGAGCTGTAGAAAAAATTGACAATTTCATTGTTACTTTTTTCTTATACCAAACTAAACAAATTCGATAAAAAAAAAAATCTTTGAATACTCAGATTTAGTCTTGGGCATTCGAATACCCGTATATGATCGGTTCGATTCTTTTTGGTTTTGGGTACATTTGGGTAGAAGAATTTAGACCCATTCGGATATTCCAAAAATTCGATTCGGATTTGGATTATTTTAGTTGAGAACCGAAAAATACCTGAAATATTTTCGGGTTCGTTTTTTTATCCATATATACCCAAAACTATCCAAAATATCCTATTACATGAAGATACAGTAGTTACTTTTTATAAAATATAATCAAATGTACACAAAAGTATCCAAATTATCAGAAAAAAAAACTAAAACATTAGTTAATTTTAATCCAAATATATCTGAACTACTCAAAATATCTAATATATGCGTATTAAATTGACAGAAATGTCCTTTTGCCTTCAAATCCACATTTATGAGAGATAAAGAAAATCAAATTGTAAGAGAAAATTGACAAAATAAAATAAAATGAGAGTTGGAATGTAGCTGTTTGATGTCAAGTCAAAATCACGAAACACAGTATGTATGGTCAGTAAATTATTGAAAATCTTTAGTCCAAACTTCTGGCTTTATATTTTACAGTCACTCACTCCCACTTCTTTTATTCTTTAGTTATTGACTATATACAAATTTTCTACAACTTGCTCTTTTATTCTGTCGACAAAACGTGTTCATGTAGTTATAAACGAACTGATAACTACATAATTTTTATATATGCAACTTTATTGTCTTTTAAAAAGGTTTGTTTTCTCTAATTAACTACAAAATCATAATAGAACAAAGCGTTTATCAAAAAGCTACAAACATGAAGTCTCGGTGCAAGATGGAGTCGTAGACTTTGTCCAAACAATTTAGGTAGTCTTTCACGGATTACGCATTTATTGCACTAACCAAAATATCTCACGGATTACGCATTTATCAATCCAATAACTAGTGGGTTTATGTATTATACGGGCCAGGCCTATTTAATGTGAGATAACACGGGTCTATGAACCAAGCCCATGGCTAAACGTCATCATAAATTATATGTATTAGTATTAGTTTAATAATTACTTGGAATGTTTTGGAAAAATAATAGTACTTACTTACAGGGTTCTTTTTATGAAGCTACTTCACTTGCAATGTTGCAAAAGAGATATATTAAATTGATTTTTTTTGTTTATAGTTTCAAACAAAGTATGTCAACATGTATTTGTTGAATATACAGGCGTAAGGAGACCGCATGGACCATGTGAATAAGTCAATAATTAATGCATTATTGTAAAGACTATTTTAATGATCACTACTCCCTCCGTTTTATAAAGAGTGTCGTTTTAAGGTTTTATTTTTGTTTCACAAAGAGTGTCGTTTTAGGTTTTCAATGCAAAATTTAATGATTTTTTATGTTTTATGACTATTAGTATTCTGCAGATTGTTTTACTATTGGGCAGATTATGTTTAGGTATATAGTTAATGATGTTTTTGTTTAGAAAAAACAAAAAATTTAATGTTTTCTTAATCTATGTGCAAAACTCTAAAATGACACTTTTTGTGAAACAGAGGGAATATATTAATTATTTATTCAATGATATCTTCAATTAGTTTTTTTTTGGTTCTAAATATTTTTGCTTAGGTTATATTTGCAAATTGATTTTCTCTTGCTTTGCTCATCGGTCCAACCTTGGCCTCCCAAGGATATGCCATGTCAAATGTCAATTAATTAGAAGGAATTTTTTTAATCATTATCTCTATAACTAAGTTCGTCGTCGTATTATAAGCGTATGATATATTGATATATATAGTCGTGTTTGGTGTGTCATACGACTCGTATTATACGCTTCAACTTATCCTACATGTACCTAAAGGCGTGCAAGCGAACTTTTGTTTCTAAGCTTATTTGTGTAGAAAAATACAAAAGCAATAAATAATTTTGGGTAAATTTTTCATGTGATCAATGGAAGGATATAGTACACATTGCTACTTATGTTTGCAAGAAACTCTAGTACACAAGACTAGACACGAGTTCGAATGTTTTGATAAATTGGAATAAACTTGTTGAAATTGTAGATAGTTATCCATTTCAAAAAGTATATATTAGGTGTCATCTATTGACACCCAAGTTTAAAAGTTTATGTGTAATTGTATCCATGCATGTATTTAATATAGAGTAGACTAGTGTCAATATTCAATCCAGAGTCATAGTTTTCAAAATCAATTTAAGATAACAAATATTTTAACATAAGTTATACTTATACAATTATGAAAAGAAATCGTTTGAAATAGATTATAAAACAAGGACAAACATTAATATCGTAGATTCGGTAGTTTACATTTGAAGTAACTTTAGATGACAGCCTAAGTATCATTAATCATTAATAAGATTAACTGCTATTAATGTTGGTTGATGATACCTTGATCGATGCTACAACTGGAACCGGTTTTGTATATAGCCGGTTATTGGTTAAGAACCGGTCAGGTCAGGTTAGGTTAGATTAGACCTGATGTTAGTTTCATTCAATACCCTACCATTTGTTTGGATTCGACGAATCCAACGGCTCGTGAATGAAGAGTGCACAAAGATCGGAGAGTAGAGAATCGAAGTAGACGTAGGATTTTTGTTTTGTTGACGTCAACCATAGAAAGATTGACACGTGGAGTTATTGAGAGGAGCGTCTTAAGAATAAATGCTTTTCTTGTTTTTTCTTATTAAAACAGTAAAAAATGCTTTTCTTGTTAAAGAAAAAAATAAAAATTCCTTGTCTAATCCTTCACGCCGCGTCTAGCCATTAAAAATTTTCGGACAGGAACAACAACTTCGCTTTCTCCATCTCTTTCAGCTAAGCTAACTCAAAACTTGGCTTATTATTGCTAATATGGCTTGGCTCGGCTTAATGAATTGACTAATCACAAATGTTTTATAAAAGAAATATCTGTTAAACTATGTTAAGCAATGTCTAATTAGTAATTAGGAAATTAATGATCATATTTTTATCCCACATAATACTCTTGACTTTTTATTTTATTTTTGTGGTTTGAGGTTTTCTCCTAAACCAGAAAATATATTCCCATCAACGATTCATCAAGTATATCCACTAAATATATCTGATTCGTTGTACCATACGTGAAAAAACAAGAATGAGAAAGAACGTGAAGACTGTAACAAGCAAAAGAAAAAAAAAAGTAGTTAAAAAGATATCTTTAATTTTTTTTAAAAAAACCAAGTAAAACGTTATCTTGAAAGTATATCCATTTTATTCGCTGTTAATGCGTTTTTATCGTTTCCTTTTGTCACGCAAAAATCTTTTATGGGGTTTTAACATCTGTACTCACGCTAAAGTTCTATCTTCAAAACATTTGGCATGGAATCCATTTATTTATTATTTTTTATTAAACAAAAAAAACCTTTAGATAATTGATAGTTATCTGATTTATAAACTCTGTATTATCAGCAAAAACGTAATTCGCCGATCGAGGACATAAGATATTAGCCGGGATCCAACGACTGCCATCGCGAGTCCGTAAATAAAATATATATCCATTAAATTTAACTTTTATAGAAAAAGCAAAAAAAAGAAAAGAAAAAAGGAAAGCGTAATCTTAATCTGACGGTGGAGATAAAAGCTCACACCGTAACGCTAGATCCATGGCAGAAACAGCGTAGCAAAATCTTCTCTTTCTCAATTGTTGTTTTGTCTTGTTTCTACCATTCATTTATTTTTTTTGTTCCTCGTAATCCAACTAACCGAAAACCAAACTCTTTTCTTCTCCGTTTCTCTCTCTCTTCGAGGGAGTGCCGGAATCGTATCGGAGTATCACCGGAATTATCCTAATTACGGTTTAACTTTACTTGCTCGTTGAAAATTCACGACGTGTCCGTCAGAGGAAAGGAGAATTTGAAATTGAAGCACCGATTCACTTTTTTTTTTTTTTTTTGGGAATTATATATATTTATCTCTGCTGGTTATGATGATGATTGGATAGAAAGAAGACAAAAAGGAAAGCCAAGATAAAAAAAAAAAGAGAAGAAGAAGAACTCTCTCTCTCTTTCTATCTATCTGCTCCTTTTGTTACGTGAAGCTTAGAGAAGAAGAAGGTTTACGAGATCCGTTTCAGTAATTTTAGCTGCTTCGATTTGCTTTGGTACGAATTACGAAGAGAAGAAGCACAATTCTCTTGTTTATATTTTGGTAAGTTTTTTTTTTTTGAAGGTTAATTGTTGATTAGGGTTTTTGTTATTGATTATCTCTCTTTTTGAATTTGGTAGGAGTTGGTTCTTCTCTGCTTGAATTAAAAGATCTGAATTTAGGCGAATTGTAGTTGAATTGTACCGAATTTTGTGTCTTTATAATTTGTTTCGTTGAGAATCTTTTCTTCTAGTCAAACTATTTCTTACCCTCTTCTAGATTGCTTGAATTTGTTGTCTTAGATTTTGAGTTGGATTGGTTTTGTACTAGAAAGCTCCTGTTTTATCCATGGAATTTTAATACATTGATCTTTCTTTTGTCTTGGGGCCCTTGTGTTTGTTTCTGGAGGTGGTAAAACTAGAAAGTTAGAAAAAGTCTCATTCTTTGGATTTTCTTGTCAGCTGCAACAATGCCGTCTGATATATTGGAACCCAGAGGTCTGCCTACACCACCTCATTTTCATGAAGACATCCGGATCACTCCTGAGGTACCTCTTCAATTTTGGTGCACTTGACATTATGCACAACAGTGTTTTCTTGGGTCTGTAGACTCGTGTGTAGAGCGTTTTTTTCTCAAGACGGTTAATGTTTTCTTGTACAGAAGCAATTTGGTTTCATGAAAAACAATCCAATGCCTGAAGGTGGTGGGGATAGATGT